ATTTTACAACACAACAGATTGGGAATATAACATGTAAACTATATATCTTGTTCAAGAAGAGAAAAAAAAAAAAAAAATAGGAAAAAATTATCATATCATATATGCATGCAGTGCCATCTCAATTTACTTTTCAAAATATGGAATTACTAACAGTTTTGTGTTTTTGTTTTGTTTTGGCCTAAAAGATTGCATCCATATAAAGTGAAACACTTTAAAAGGATAGCAAAGCCTGTTCAATGACTATATTAATACCAATGTGTACTTACTTTTACCTTTTAAAAGTTAACTTAATTTGAGCAAAATCTGAAAATTAGCACAAGTCTGTGAGTTCTAAATGTTCACGAGATTTGTAGAGCAATCTGTTTTCCTTAATTGTGAAAGCATGCAAACAGAGAACAGTTGACAGTTCTCCCTTTATGAAATAGTGACAGCCTCAAAAATCTGCAAGTTTAAAGAGTTGTCTATAGTTTTTAAAAACTAAAACCCAGACTTTACTATCCCTTTAACATAGGCATACAACATATGTGTTAAAGACAAATCATGTTAACGTGACACTAATTGATATATGTGGATCTTAACAGCATCTAATTTCTTATACTGCCTTCAGAAATAAAGTACCATTTTAGTATACAGTGCAGCTAAAGTTTTGTATAGCTTTAAGTGACAAAGGAATTACCAGTGACATTTTCAAAACTGGGTTTAAAAAAAATAAAAAAAAATAAAAAAAAACACCTTTTCTGAACTGGCTGTGTTTGTATGCATAAACTAAAACAAAATAATGACTAGCAGAGTTTTGACATAATACAACATTATCCGACATTTAAATTTCCAATATGTAACCATTAGCAACTCTGCACTGGTTTTGGATACACATATAAAACTAAATTTTCTTTAGGAAAAGGAAAAAAAAAATAGTAGAAATCTTTCACTTGAAGAAACAATATATATCTAATGGAAGACTGTTTGCCGCCATTGCTTGTCCACTAAAAATGGCCAAAGAGACTCCCTGATGCCAACCCTAAATGGTGTGCGCTGTCCGATGCCAAGTTGTTCCAACTTGGAGCAGTTGAGTTGTGGGTTGCGTGGTCGAGGAGTTTCTCCCACAGGTTCATCTGTAATCTGAAATAATGATAAAAATCAATACAGCTATTTATGCATAACTTTACAATAAATGGACACAAGACACAAATTCTCTATTACATTGATCTTTAATGAATAAAAATGATTTTAAATAATTTTATAACTAACTTTAAAAAGCACATTTTGAATGGATTTATGAACCAAGTTTTTTTTTAAATTTATAACCTTTAATAGGAGGCACTTCTGAATGATTCTGTACATAGCTGGTCCAACAATATGCCATACCCTAAGCATAAACAGGGCCATTGCAAGTGTTCAGTAATTCCCGTGTGTTTTTATTAATATAACTCCAACATTTCATGACGGGCGCTATAACTGGTCTAGAAATGACAAAAATGGGTTCCTGAGAGTATAGTATTTGGCAAAAAGAAATGCAAGCCATCATCAAGTGCCTAAAATCTCAGAAGAGGAGGGACTGCAGCAGGGAACCTGCTCTGCAATTGATGAAAAGCGAGCAAAAAGTGTTTAAATCGGGGGGGAGGGGAGGGGGGAAATTATCAGAAACATGAATATTAATAATATATATATATATAATTTTTTAAATTATTTTTCGTGCTTCAAACCTAGTGGTACAATAATATAACATTTTGTTTTGCATATAACTTGACAGTCAGCATAAGAAAGCATGAACTTGAAGGTTGTCAGCACTATTATTCATAACAGACAGGTATGATTACAAACCCCGGAGAAGGTGTGGTTGTGGCAAGTGTGATAGTTCTTGTGTTATTCCCTGGGATACTCCAAGTGTATGGGTGTGAGAGTGCTCGTTAGTTCTATCTTGGGGTTACGGTGCGTGTATGAGCACAAGTATGTGTGAGTCAGGCTAGTTCAGGTGAATATGTTTGGAGGCCTATATGTGCCCCATTATATCTTGGATACTGTTAATGTCGTCCTCTGTGACTCTGACCCTTTCTACAACATGCTGGATACACTTGAAACAGAGTTGGGTTTATTAGCTAATTAAAACCAGGAAAAAGCAGAAATTTTAAATAACGATTTTTCTTCAGTATATATTAATGAGGATCCTATGGCAAGAGATATGCAAATGATTGCTGCAAAAAAACTTGTGATTGGATAACTCAAGACAAGGTGCTACAGCTATTAAAGAAAATTAATGTAAATAAAGCTCTGGGGCCTGACGGTATTCACCCACGAGTACTTAAGAAGCTAAGTGGGGAAATAAGTAAACCTCTGTATTTAATTTTTCAAGATTCTTTTGTTTCAGGTGTTGTACCGGAGGATTGGAGGAAGGCAGATGTTGTTCCTATATTTAGAAAGGGTTCAAAATCCTTGCCTGGAAATTATAGACCTGTGAGCTTAACCTCTGTAACTGGGAAAATATCTGAAGGGCTATTAAGGGATAATATTCAGGAATTCATTGGGAAGAACTTTGTTATAAGCAATAATCAGCATGGTTTTATGAAACATAGGTCATGTCAAACTAACCTAATTACATTCAACGAAGAAGTAAGTAGAAGTATAGATCGGGGTGTTGCAGTGGATGTAATCTACTTGGATTTTGCCAAGGCATTTGATACGGTTCCTCACAATAGGTTAGTCTTCAAACTAAAAGAAATTGGTCTAGATGAATATTCTTGTTCTTGAGTAAAACATTGGCTTAAGGATAGAGTACAACGAGTTGTAATTAATGGTAAATTTTCAGGCTGGACAAAAGTGGTAAGTGGTGTCCCTCAGGGTTCTGTTTTGGGACCACTTCTATTTAACATATTTATAAATGATCTTGAAAGAGGCATTGAAAGCCATGTATCAGTGTTTGCAGATGACACAAAACTTTGTAAAGTAATAAAATGTGAGCAGGATATTGCTTTGCTGCAGAGAGATTTGGATAGATTGGGGAACTGGGCACTAAAATGGCAGATGAAATTTAACATAGAGAAATGCAAAGTTATGCACTTTGGGGTTAAGAATGCACAAGCAACTTACACACTAAATGGTAGTGAATTAGGGATAACCACACACGAAAAGGATTTGTGAATGGTTATAGACAACAAATTAGGCAGCAATATGCAATGTCAATCTGCAGTTGTTAAGGCCAGTAAGATTTTGTCATGTATAAATAGGGGCATAAATTCTCGGGATGAAAATATAATTTTGCCTCTTTATAAATTTTGGGCGCCTGTTCTAAAGAAGGATATCATGGCACAGAGGGTCCAGAGACGAGCTACAAAATTGATAAAAGGAATGGAGAATTTTAGTTATGAAGATTAAATAAAGGTTAAAAAAATTTAATCTGTTTAGTTTGGAAAAACGGCGCCTGAGAGGGGATATGATAACTTTATACAAATATATTCGGGGCCAGTACAAACCTTTATCTGGAAATCTATTCATAAACAGGGTTATACATAGGACACAAGGTCACACATTTAGGCTGGAAGAAAGGAGATTTCATCTAAGGCAAAGAAAAGTTTTTTTACAGTAAGAACAATAAGGATATGGAATTCTCTGCCTGAAGAGGTGGTTTTGTCAGAGTCCATACAGATGTTTAAACTGAAATTGGATAAATACTTAAAAACATAACATACAGGGATATAATTTCTAATTAGTGGGGTAATAGCTGCTTGATCCAAGGAGACATCTGACTGCTATTTTGGGGTCAAGAAGGAATTTTTTCCTAGTTTGTGGCAAAATTGGAAGCGCTTCAGACCAGGTTTTTTGCCTTCTTTTGGATCAACAGCAACAACATATGCGAGGAAGGCTGAACTTGATGGACGCAAGTCTCTTTTCAGATATGTAACTATGTAACTATCTAAGGCACTCAGAAGACTTTAGAACATAGTTCAGATGGAGTAGGGTCGAACTATATTGGTTGGGTAGAATAGAATCAACTGAAGCCTATTTGCTTCAAAATATAATGGATCTATTTAGAATGATCCCACTCAGTCAGTTACAAAACCTTGAACGGTTTTCAAGTTGCTATCTAAAAGTTTATATGGGCAAACAAGAAATCCAGAATTTTTTAATTTTTTTTTTATATAAAGAAATCAGGGAGAAATGGAGGCTTGGGATTTCGAGATGTAATATGTGTTACATGAAGCCTGTATGTGATCTCATTATTTAGCCTGGGATAAAAATACCACCACCAATTTATGGAAAGGAATCGAAATTCAGGAGTTCAAAGCTGATTTTCTTTATGATTGTTTTGGATAGATAAAAGATGCCCATTAGATAAAATTACAAAAAATCCTAATAAAGGCGACTGTGATTATGGTTAAAAACACAAGGAAAAAACAACCAAATAAATGGAATTACGCTATCTTCTCCATTAGAATTACTGGAAATTAATGCAAGAGATCTGTATCTGAGTAGCTGGAGAAGATGTGGGATTAGTTAGTTTTCGAATATCTATTCTTATGGTAGCTTAATTGCTTTCCAGCCTACTTATTCTCTCACTTCAGGTGAAGTGTTTACATACTTGAGAGTAAAACAAATTACCTATCTACTAAACAAATTTTACATCAAAATAACACCACTGATTTCTTAGAGAACCATAATCCTCAAAAGAATATCCCGCTCACTTAAATTTCTTAGTATCTTTGTTAAAAAAAGAGTCTCCAATACTGAAATGGGAACTAGATTTGAAAAAAAACAAAAAAAAAACTTTGAGAAACAGACTTGTAAAAGTATCAAATGGGTCAAACAGAGTACACACTGAGTAAGTTTGATTGCGTTGTATTTTAAAGTTTAATATAGGTGGTACATGGTTCCAACAAAATTACATAAAATATATAGTGACCATTCTGACCAATGCTGGAGATGCAATAATGATCCATATTTGGTGGGAGTGTTCCGGGTTAGATACCTTGAAAAGTAACCTAAAGACTTCTCTTTGAAATCTTGGGGAAAGAGATTTTTTTGACTCCACAGCTTCTTCTCCATTTGGACTTTCCCCAAATTAACTTAAAGGACCACTATAGGCACCCAGACCACTTCAGTTAATGAAGTGGTCTGGGTGCCAGGTCCATCTAGGATTAATCCTTTCTGCTGTAAACATAGCAGTTTCAGAGAAACTGCTATGTTTACCTATGGGTTAATCCAGCCTCTAGTGGCTGTCTCATTGACAGCCGCTAGAGGTGCTTCCGACTGTGATTTTCACAGTGAGAAGACGCCAGCGTCCATAGGAAAGCATTGAGAATGCTTTCCTATGGACTGGATGAATCCGCGCGTGGCTCTTGCCGCGCATGCACATTCAGCCGATGACGGCGAAAAGGAGGAGAGTTCCCTGTGCCAAGGGAGCCCGGCGGGGGGGAAACAGGTAAGATTTAACTCCCTCCTCCCCATAGAGACCAGCGGGAGAGGGGCCATGAGGGTGGGGGGACCTAGAGACCCTATCGTGCCAGGAAAACGAGTATTCCTTTAACGATCCTGTGGCGGAACCAGCCTCGCCACTGGGCATTGGAGAAGACTGATTGCCAGCCTCCTGCCATGTGACTATGGCCCCTGGGATGTATTGCCCGCTCTCCTATACTGCTGAGGATTGCTACCAACTAGGTGGATTTGGCTATGGGGCTTGTGTAGTGCCCTCTGTTGGTAGCAACCGTAATATGCACTACCTGAATAGCAAGACTGGTAATTTGCATATTCGGGTAGATTTGCATATCGCAAATTCTATATGCAGGAGAGACATTTTGTGTTAATTATGGTCTTCCCCACCCATTTATAAATATGTAATTATGTTATAATAAGTCACTGTATGTTGCCCGCTAGGATTTGACTGTTTGTAATATTATTGAGTTTTCACAGCAATGTTAATGTAATGACCATATGGGCTAGTCCCAAGTAAAATAAAGTTTTAGACAGTTCTACTTCACCCTCAATTTGGAGTGCCGTCTCTTATTGGGGGAATCTGCTACAAGGGATTGCTATGCTAGTCATACTCCCTTGCTATATCACTACTAAGCTCTTGTAAGAGCTTGTTCCTGTTTTGCTCTCCAAAGGAGTCTACGGTGCTTATGGTGTCGGCTGCAGTGCTTGGAGTCCTCAGGAAGCGCTAGGAGCATCCTTCAACGGAGGTACCCAGTCGGGGTGCCAGGTGATCTGTTACAGATCCATATTATGCTGGCAGTAAAAATATGCATAGTGAGAAACTGGAAAAAGCAAGGGCAGCACGGTTGGTATGAAATAACAAACCAAATAAATTACCAGTGTGCAATGGAGAATGGTTGTTCATCAAACAGTAACCCCAGTAACCCATCAATCTTATTTAAAAAAAAAAATACGGGATGAATGGCAAACATCTTCCTATATTAAAAAAAACAAGAATAATAGGTTGCGCTACATAAATATCAAATGAAAAAGGGATAAATATGGCAAACACTTTAAAACATAAAAGAGGAAAAATATGTAAAAAGAAAAGGGGATTTAATAAATATATATAACAAATATATATATAAAAAAAGATAGTCCAAATTCTTGATATACTTTAAAAAGTTCAAATAAGTGGATGATAGTGACAGTACTTGGTACATTTTTCTTTCAGGTTCCGGTAAGTATTTGGGAGTAGAAAGTCCAATAAGAGACTGAATCTTCTAATCTTTAGAGGAGTCTTGATTCAGAGGTGAACATGGAAAATATAAGCAACAAAGACGATCCAATAGTGTAGACTGTCTGTGATAAATAATAATAGGTAGGTAGTACACTCACCTATCTTAGAGCATGAACTTGCTCTAGTATGTTGGGCGTTCAGTGGCGTTTATCCCCCACTGGTAGGATATAGGTGACGTCATTTTGGCGCCAAAATTTGAATAAGCATGTTTTATCATAGTTTATAAAAGTATCTATGTATCAGGCTGATTTTTATTATTGCCAGTTGATAAAGCCCTGTGTGGCGAAACGCGTTTTGGCTATTTTATATATTTTTTATTGTACTAATAAAGGAATAGTGGCTCTTTTACAACAATTTTGCCATATACCTTTTTATCTTATTTTAAAAAAAAAATATTTTTTTAAAAATATTTCCTGTCACCTGGTCATTCACCAACTTGGAATCTACTCACGACCAAGAATCCTTGGTGGGGATTGTACCACCTATGCGGATATACTGAGCAGTTTATCCTGCTCATTCGAATGTGAGTATTTTTATTCCCTTATTTCATTTTATTTCATTTTGATTCAGTGAGCACTATATTCTGCTTTTATCTCCTTTTTATTACCGAGGAATTACCTTCACCTATATCCTACCAGTGGGGGATAAACGCCACTGAACGCCCAACATACTAGAGCAAGTTCATGCTCTAAGATAGGTGAGTGTACTACCTACCTATTATTATTATTTATCACAGAAAGTCTACACTATTGGATCATCTTTGTTGCTTATATTTTCCATGTTCACCTCTGAATCAAGACTCCTCTAAAGATTAGAAGATTCAGTCTCTTATTGGACTTTCTACTCCCAAATACTTACCGGAACCTGAAAGAAAAATATACCAAGTACTGTCACTATCATCCACTTATTTGAACTTTTTAAAGTATATCAAGAATTTGGACTATCTTTTTTTATATATATATTTGTTATATATATTTATTAAATCCCCTTTTCTTTTTACATATTTTTCCTCTTTTATGTTTTAAAGTGTTTGCCATATTTATCCCTTTTTCATTTGATATTTATGTAGCGCAACCTATTATTCTTGTTTTTGTCATTTCTCTTTTGAGGACTTCAGAGGGAACCTCATACCTATAGGCTGCAGCTTTCCCCTTGATCACATCACACAGCGCTGATCCGTTTTCTACCTGTATCTTCCTATATTAATAAGAACTAGAAACTCGCAATTCTCAAGATGAATATCCTACCACGGCTATTATATTTATATCAGACGATTCCGCAAGCCCTACCGACGGCATATTTCGCGTCACTCCGTTCCACGATGGTGAAGTTCGTTTGGAGTGGGAAACAGGCAAGACTCCGACAGGACGTCCTCTGCTTACCTTGAGCGTGGAGGGGACTGGCGCTCCCCGACCTCCGCAAATACCACCATGCGACAGTACTACAACGCGTACTGGAGTGGCATACTCAACCGGAGCATAAACAATGGATCGAATTGGACAAACAACATATAGGCCCCTCCTTTCTGACATCAGTGTGGAATACGAAGAGGATGCCACGGATGATTTTGGAACCAATCTCTACCATTGTGCAGACACTGAAAGCGTGGGATACTATCAGAAGAGCTCCTCACGTTTCTCAAACACCAAGCCCGATGACCCAGATACAGTACAATCCTGAGATAGGAGGAGGGCTACCGCAGGCGGCATGGTCCTTCCTGGGAGAGGGGGAATCATTCCCCATACATAAGGTGTTAACCAACACAGACATGACCCCCCTGAGGGACCTACTGGAAGGCAACCAACCCACCAGCCTACAAACCTTCCGCTATGTACAACTCAGATCATACTATCGCACACTTCTGGACAAGGAAAAGCTACATAGGGACTTAACCTGGTTCAAAACGCTCTGCGACCGCAAGACTACCCTAGATAAGGCAATATCCCTATTGTATCAGCACATGCTAGTGGGGCACCTCACTAACAACGACCAATTCCGCAGGCGCTGGGAACGCATGCTGAATACATCCTTCACCACGTCCCAATGGGATAAGATCCTCATATTACACCATAAATGCTCATCGAGCTCCCAATATCAAGAAACAAACTATAAACTCCTTTCATTCTGGTACAGAACGCCTGACAGTCTACACAGGATCTTCCTGAATATACCTGACACATGCTGGAGATGTGGGGATGAACGTGGGAATGCTCACTCATTAAGCCATACTGGGACGAAGTTCTACAGAAAATAGGGGAAATCACAGGGACGGAAGAAAACCTCAACGCAGAGGTGGTCCTCCTGCACTCCACACCAGACCCCATAGGAGCATTTAGGAAAAACATTCATAGACACCTAATTAATGCGGCCAAGGCACGGATTCCACTATACTGGAAACAAACGAATATCCCGACGATAAGGCAATGGATGGAGCGGGTGGAAGAAATATATAGAGCGGAATCAATGCAGGCCACACTTCTAGGCCTCGAGGACAAGCATGTGGAGAGGTGGCGCCCATGGCTACTCTACATAGCGGACCGAAGCACAGATAGGAATAGCCGTCCGCAGCCCCAGGGAACCCCGTCCCCCCCCACGGATGGGGACTGACATCTGGTACGATACGTGCAACACCATGGGCACGGGCGATGGGACCCCCCGCCTCTTCACACCTCCCTGCCCATCCCTCCTCCAACCTGCTTCCTCCTCCCCATCCCCCCTCTCTCTTTCTCTTACTTCTCACTCATTTTTCACTCATCTTCTTTCTAAATTCTCCAACAATGTTTTCTATACTAATTGAATAACAGACGCAGCCCTCCTCAACCCGAGATTGCTAACAGCTGTGTCACTCACTCACACTCACATATCAAAATGGAAGCAAACACCTCTACAATGAGATCACACAACACGAATAAGGCACACTCATGAACGGCAACTGACCAATAACGCCGGACCAATAGCCTTTACCATCCCAAAGAGAACGAGGCCCAGGGGTGATAAGGAAATATTAAAGGAACACAAAAGGCAGACACAAAGTACAAACATACGAGTATTCCTCTACTCGAGCTGCAAACCGGTCACCCATATGAATACCCGAACGTGTTAACCACGATCAAATACCATATATGTATAATACGTAACATTGTTCGAGTGATGTTCACACATTCTACGATGGGACCTGCGCGTCCGTTATATCTTGTTTGCTTGTTCAATCTATAGATTCATGCTGTTGTACATTGATCAGGGCAAACCCTGAAATGTTTATGTTTGAATAAAGCCTTTTTTGAACTTAATAAGAACTAGAAACTTAACCAAGACCAGTAAATTGTGAACTATATGACTAACAGGAATTTAAGTGTTAATCCCTGATCCACCACCCTTTTTCCTCACGCCAGAATGAATGATGTATGGAGTATGACTGCTGTTAAAATATTTAATGTAACAATGTAAAAAATGTATATACATATCAAACCTTAATAAAGAATATATATAAAAAAAACTTGTTAAAAGGACAAATACCAATACAACAGAGAAAAATATGGTACTCCTATCACCCCAATACATGGTTATCCACTCCCCTTTTCACTACCTAGATTTATGATAAAACATTTTAAGCAGTCTTTTAAGCAGTTTTTTATTGTACTGAAGAACTGAACGAACGATCTAGAATAATGTCGAGCTAGCGATATTGGAAGCACAGCTCCTTATATTAAATCAAAAAAACAAACAAACAAAAAAAAAATAACGAACAACATTTTCTATTTCTAGACCAGAAGAGTAATAAATCATGTGTGATATGCTGGAGGGAAGTAGAAATACAATTAAAAAGTAATTTCTTCCAGAACAACATATTGCCCAAACAGATTTTTAACCTTTCAAATCAATCAACTGTTCATTTATAATGCTGTAAGACAAACAATGCTCCATTTTCTTGTTATATGAGTTCACTTACTGGTCTCAGATGGCTGCTGGGAAGGTTGAAGGCATCAGCCATAGCACACGCTATCTCATATTTAGTCATTTGTTCATTTCCGGACCAATGAAAGATTCCCTTGAGGGATGGATTCTTAGACAAAACAAAAATACATAATTACAATACTGATTAAAAATTACCTTAAGTACAACCTTTAAATGGAACTAAATTGTAGCATACAGGTGTTTACTGTTTTCACAGCATTTGTTCTATTTTTTTTGTTTATTATTATTCTCCTCACGGTTCTCAGAAACCCCATTTTAAATCTCATATTAATGATTTCAGTGGAATGACTTGCTCCCTCCAAAAGTGCCCTCACAGAGAGATAAACTATTTTGGAAACATCTGTAAAAAGTCTATGAAAAAGCGATGTATTAGAGAGAACCACTTAATTCAGTTTTATTTTTAGCAGAAATTCAATTGTTAAAGAAAGAATACACCTTAACATTAACTTTATTCCTAAACTCTGCTTTCAGAGAAGAAAAAAAAAAGAAAATATAAAACTAGTATGTAATAAGTTGTGTTATAGCAAGTTTTATCACCCTTCTGTCAGCTCTGAAAACATACTTAGCATGTAAAATATTCTATTGACAACATAAGGAAAAGGGTTTTGCTATTTGTTATGAATAGTCTAGTTTCACTCTTATCAATTATGTGACCTTTACTTTCACACAGGGAGACTGGAAGCATTTTTGTACTAATGCCAAAGGCAGAGTGCCTCAGGAAAACAGGGTGCCTGCTACTCCCAAACCAATTCTATTGCAGACACAGATCCAAATATACAGTTCCTTGCAAAGGTATTCAGGCTGCCTGCAAATTTTATAATATATATATCTGCCCAAATGGTACTTGACACAAATGCACAGACAATAATTGTATTTCAAATTCATCTATTGTAAGAGTACATATCAGAGCCAAACTAAGTTTTTTCTTGCTACCTTCCCACACAGGTAAATTTGACAAGCCCTTTTTAGCTTGTGTACATTTTAGTGCTGCAACGCCTTTAAAGCAACAGCTTGCCTCTTACTGGCTTATCTCAAAATCTTCATTGTTTGGTGCAGGTTCTTGGTCTACTTCCAGATAATTAATATCTAAACACTTTGATATCAGTTTACACCATTTTCCTGACTGATGTAGTCCAAGTTCTCAACCTTTTACTACCTAAAAATGCTCTTTCATAATAGGAAAAGATTTCCTTCAGATCTGCACCAGGCCAATGATTCTTATCCAGACTGGGATTTATACTTTAAGCAGCTATGTCAATCTATACTTTACTCTGTTCCTCTTCTATTCCTTACTCCATTTTATTTTATTTTTTTAAATCTATTTCTTCAAAATTCATAAAGTAAAGTTGTGACTACTTTGACTTGTGTATTTTTCCTCCACTTGACAAAAGGCACAGCTACATTTGTCAGTTTTTTGTCACTTCCCCACTAGCAACGGCTGGGAGAATAAGGTATTGTTTTCCTCATTACGAGACAATATCTATGAAGGGTCTGCAGTCTTTCAGAATCCTCCATAGACCTGCGTAGTGTACTGTCTAGCATGCTGGCAGATGAAGCACCAAGCTGAATAGGACCCATCGGATGCTAATGCGAGGGACAGGTTCAGGTAAGCAAAACTCACGTTCCTCAGCACCCCGAGGCTACCAGTCACCAAGCAGGAAGTCACCATCGAAAGGTGACAGAGCTGCTTTAAATAAAAATGCTTCCTACTTTAAACATCTCACAGGTAGATAACTGCAATGCCACTAAGACTTTTTTTTTTAGCTATGTACACTTGAAGTTTCCAGAGGAGAGGGGTTGACCATTTATGCAAATGAATATTTTAGTGGTTTTATTTTTTTGAACATATTTTACCCAAAAAAAAATTACTTAAAAAAAAAATAAAAAAAAAAATTATATATATATATATATATTTTTTTTTTTTACTTTTCGAATAAAGTATCAAAACAAAAAAGTTCAATACATAAATAGTTTAAATGTGCACGGCATTGTATTGGCTCCAGGAATAAAGAATTCCCATAAACTGACCAGACTCTACAAACCTATATTTATTCAAAACAAAGCCAGCTTTCACAAGTAATATAAAGGAAACAATGGTACTGTGAAGAGTTTGACACAGAACGCTTTTCTGTGGGGTTTTTTCAGTGGCTTTTGTAATACAACCATGTCAAATGAGGTCACAGCTTACATGTGCTGTATGAACCTTGTACGACATTCCACTTTCTGTAGCTTAGACCACCATCTTGTCAGTTTGCATGCACCTAGGCAGCCGTATGTTAGCTCATGAAAGGAGTATCTTGTTTAGTACCAAGACACTGCAGAACATCACATAAAATTAAATAAATAACCGATTTCAAGCCGAAGCTAGAACAAAGAGGCAGATTGCCAGTGCAATACACATTTAGAGGGTTGTATTTGGTATACATAAATAATTTCATCTTTAATTTTGCTTATTTGAACTCCAGCATGTAAACAGGTTGGTTTTTTTTGTTTTGTTTTTATGTATGTTGTATTTCAAAATTGCTTAGACAATATATATTCAAAAATGTGCTTGACAAAGGCCCCTTTAAAGGATGAAACGTGCTGCACACTTTTCCTGAATAAAGTCTGCCTATATGAAGTGGTGTATTCTCGTTTTGTGCTGTCCTAGGCATGACAAAACTTGGGCACACCCATCCGCCTTCCCCCATTCTAAAATTTCTATGCCTGTTTAAAACCAACATGCTCTTTGCCTGACAGACACATGCCCTCACTGAAACATACACTGACATATACAAAGTCATTGTCACACACACTGTTTAACTAACACACTTTCACTGAAACATACACATTCACAGATATAAAGAAATATGCAGACCGTCTCAATTATATGAATGAAACTTACTGCATTGACTGGAAAAAATATATCTATGTCTAGCGCGATGTTCCAAATATAGAACCTGGCTATTAGAAATAATATGGTCAGAGACCCTAATTAAACAAAGTATATACAAGTGAACCTACAATCCTATGCCAGCCCAGGGTAGTATAGATCAAGAGGTAGTAAAAAAGATAACCTCACTCCCCCTTATAATTAAGCTTTATTGTGATCTGCTATAGGGATAGGAGTATACAGTAACTAAGTCTCTATAATCCATGCATCCTAGGAAGTATCCTGGTCACACTAGAAACATATTAAGAAAAACAGAGAGAGATAAGGACTGAAAATAGAAGTAAAAAAATCAGTCAAAACAGACTGATAATTAGCATTAATAAAGCCTCTCTCCCTGTAAAGCTAGCTAGATAGGCATAGGAAAGAAAAGAAGAAAACGATATAAAATAAAGTTAAATTAAATGGTGATCATGGTGCTCCAAACACCAGTGCCCAGTGCAGAAAAAATGCCCAACGTACGTTTCGGTGCAGAAAGATGCACCCCAGTGCAGAAAAAATGCCCAACGTACGTTTCGGTGCAGAAAGATGCACCTTCGTAAGGTACATCTTTCTGCACCGAAACGTACGTTGGGCATTTTTTCTGCACTGGTGTTTGGAGCACCATGATCACCATTTAATTTAACTTTATTTTATATCGTTTTCTTCTTTTCTTTCCTATGCCTATCTAGCTAGCTTTACAGGGAGATAGGCTTTATTAATGCTAATTATCAGTCTGTTTTTGACTGACTTTTTTACTTCTATTTTCAGTCCTTATCTCTCTCTGTTTTTTCTTAATATGTTTCTAGTGTGACCAGGATACTTCCTAGGATGCATGGATTATAGAGACTTAGTTACTGTATACTCCTATCCCTATAGCAGATCACAATAAAGCTTAATTATAAGGGGGAGTGAGGTTATCTTTTTTACTACCTCTTGATCTATACTACCCTGGGCTGGCATAGGATTGTAGGTTCACTTGTATATACTTTGTTTAATTAGGGTCTCTGACCATATTATTTCTAATAGCCAGGTTCTATATTTGGAACATCGCGCTAGACATAGATATATTTTTTCCAGTCAATGCAGTAAGTTTCATTCATATAATTAAGACGGTCTGCATATTTCTTTGTTCTTGTGTTTATATCTGGGGTTAAGCCCCTCTGAGACAGCTGGAGTCTCATACTGGTACGTTGGTCTCTGCGTGACCCCTGCAGCCACTGCCCCCCCCCTTTTGGGGAGGTTTTGAGGTGGTGGGTGCGGCGGCTATACAGGGACTTGGAACGTTGTGTTCCTTGCTCTCTTTTTTTTACATTCACAGATATACACACACTCTCATTCACTGACAGACACTCAAATTCACCGACACACATACACACACACACACTGACAAACATGCCTACATACAAACTAACACACACAATTTTATTTTTTACATTTCCATCTCCCCAGCCTCCATTTGGAAGAGCTGGAGTGGATTCTTCCCTGAGGTCCCTAGTAGGGCTGCCTGCAACTCGGCTGGCAGGGCATTCAGGAACAGGGGGCGAATGGGCAGGCAGGCACACAGTAGAGGCGGGAGGTGAGGGAGCTGTAATCCTCCTGCTCAGCTCCCTCCCTCGCTGCTTAGTGAGGTTATATACCAGCTCTGGCATCACTAAGCAGGAAGATTACAGCAACCTCGCCGCCCGCCTCCATCATCAGCAGATGCCAGTCGGCCAGCTTTTGCACCCCCCAGAACTTAGACAAGAGGCTGACAATGCATCTGCCTGGGTGTTTGCGGGGTGGCTTTTTATGCCACCCCCTGAAAGTGCCACCCAAGGCAAATGCCTTGTCAGCCTCGCGCTAAATAGCCTATGTGAGGAAGCTACGGTACGTGTCTGGGCTTTTTCTGAACTTTCCAGTGTTAATTTGGGATTTTGCCTTGCCCTCCTGGAGCAGCCCAGTGGAAAGACACCCCCTGCCTGTGCATTTCTCACAAATTATCAAGATCGTGTGAAGAAAATAAATATACAGACCATGCTATAACTTCATAAGACACTTGCACAAGCAAATCTACAAAATTTGCATGAGAAGTTTAACCGTTTTCAAGCATATTTTAAAAGGAATTGTACCTTGTACCAGAACCAAGATGTATTCCCAGTAAGTGCAATGCATTCAGGGCTGGTGCAAGAATTTTTGCTTAGACAGGCAAAGATGCATTGTGCTGTTGCCACAACTCCCCCAACCCCAATTTACATTGTTTTTACTACATTTTTGTTTATGACCACCCAACCTCGAGGGGAAATAGAGTGTATTCTCTCCTTGGTATCCAATGGGGGTAGCTGAGATCACCGTAGCATCACTACAGGCCACAAAAGGGAGCTGCGCAGCCAGAATAATGTGAATAATGTGTAATCACAGCCGTGACACCCAGACTAGGTACACTTGGGTAGAGTAGTACCGCTGTACTGACATACACTAGCAACGGCCTTGAATGTGTTTTACAAAGACAGTAGACTGACAATACTGCTGTGATGCTTTTACCAAAAAAATATGCTACCCATGTATAGTTAACTTTAAAAATTAATTGTAGCCACAGAAAGTCATCAGAAGTTAACTACCTGAAGTTTCTTCTCAGTTAACTGAAGACAAACCGTTGCTACATCTTTGACATATGTAGGAAACCTTTGTTGCAAATGGTCCATATTGGCTGATTTGTTGCTAAACTGGACTTTATCAAACAGTATGGTAACAGCACTTTCCTCAAGTTTTTCAACGTCTCCATACAACACAGGAACACGAAGCACAGCAGCATCTAGGAACAAAACAATACAAAAAAAAAACAAGATCTTGACATTGAACTTGACAAGTAAAAGGTTTACGCAAATATATGGAAACTGCAGTAAATATAATGGACATGCATGATCTAACCTTCATTATTTTGCAACACTACTTTCTCCCCTTCTAGTTTTGTTTTTCCATAGTGGTTCAAAGGATTTGGCACAGCATCTTCTCGATATGGTGGATTTCTTCCATCAAAAACATAATCTGAACTGATGTAGATCAAAAAAGCTCCAACTTTAGCTAGAACATACAAAAATATAAATACATTAAAATATATATTGTTGTAAACTGACAAATCATATCTGAAATAAATTACAATCATTTCTGAATGAGATAAAAAAAAAAAAAAAAAAAATACAGCAGGCATTTTTGATGTTAAGTTCACTTGTGGCTTTACTAGTCATTGTAAGCATTATAAAGATAATATTAAAATTCAGTGAAAGCGCTATAATTCGAAAACCCAAAATAGGTTGTTATATTTATATTATGAAATACCGACACCTCTACATGCAATATTCTGATTATGGATAAAACCACTTATGTGAGTAATCAACCGCATATAAGTTATTAAGTGTTCTTGCATAGCAAGACCACTTAATGTTATCTCACATATATATTATTCTTATTATAGTCAAATTTACCACCCTAACTCCTTCCACAGTTTTTACAATACATAGATAGTAATATACCGAAACGTGAGGATTGTTCCCGATTGGTGTGCTATTACTTTGTGGAACGTTTCGCCGAATGGTTCACGGAATATCGTCTTTCTTGAGGCGAAATTGGTCACATAGGAATGAATGGCATAATTTTCAAAACTAGAGCGGGAGCTGGCAAAAGCTGAAAAATCAGGACATGATTTCTAAACTGCCACCACTCCCTCATTTTCAAGCCCACCTACACAAATCTTATATCAAAACATTCAGCTATCCCTGCTGCCACTACAAATGTCCACAGCTAAGCGATAGTCCTGATAGTTTTCACAATATGACCATTTGTTTGCAACTCCAGCCGTCTATTGACATTCATTGAAACTCCACTCTAGTCAGCTCAAATTTGAAGGGCAATTTCGAAACTGCGACTGTGCCTTCACTGTTAATATTTCAGAGACATACTATGCATCAAAATGTAGGTCTGGGTCTTGTGATTCTCACAATATAAAGCTCTTCGCTGTAGGATTTAGAGTTTTTAAAATACGACCGTTTGAAGATGGAAACCGCAAAAATACTCTGACCTGTGCCAAACTGGAGCAGCAAGTGATGTCATAGACAGGGCCTTTTGTACACCTGCTAATGTTTTTATAAATGTATGTTTTAACCCCTTAAGGACCGGACTGTTTTTGCGTACATTTGCGACCAGGCATCTTTTGACACTTTTGTGGTGTTTGTGTTTAGCTGTAATTTTCCGCTCTCTCATTTACTGTTCCCATACAAAAAAGGGGCTTTCTTTACATACCATTATTTATATAATCCCATGTAATTTAATTTAAAAAAAAAATGAAAAAAAAATACATGTTTTTTGACTTTTACTTGAAAAATCTTTTACTCATCTACAAAATCGAATGAAAAAAGACTGCTAAATAGATTAAAAATTGTGTCCTGAGTCTAAAAATACCCAGTATTTACATGCTTTTTTGCATGTTATAGGGCTAGAAGTACAAGTAGGATATTGCGGTTTCAAAACACACATTTTTAAAATTTATCAATAGTGACATTGTAACACTATTGTCTGTCATAAATCCCCTCATGTACATATTTTTTTTTTTAAAGAAGACAGCCCAGGGTATTCAATATGGGGTATGTCCAGTCTTTTTTAGTGGCCACTTAGTCGCAAACACTGGCCAAAGTTAGCGTTCATATTTGATTGTGTGTGAAAAAAGTAAAAAACTAAATTGAACGCTAATTTTGGCCAGTGTTTGTGACTAAGTGGTTACTAAAAAAGACTGGACATACCCCATTTGCAATACCTTGGGTTGTCTTCTTTTGCAAATGGTATGCCATCATGGGGGTAATTCTCATTCCTGGGCTACCATACGCTCTCAAAGGCAACGTAACCAACCTGGCCATTTTCAATGTAAAAATATTTGACCCATATATTTGACCCTGTAACTTTCAAAAATGCTATAAAACCTGTACATGGGGGGACTGTATACTCAGGAGACTTTGGTGAACACAAATATTAGTGTTTCAAAACTGGAAAACGTATGACAACAATATCATTAGTAAAAATGCTGTTTGTGTGTGAAAAATGCAAAAAAAGTCACTTTCACTGACAATATCATCATCGGTTTTCCTGACACTATAGTGCCCTGAGGGTGCCCCCACCCTCAGTGTCCCCCTCCCGTGGCGCTGAAGGGGTTAAAACCCCTTCAGCAGCTTACCTTATTACAGCGCCGGTGACCTCTCCTCCCCCACCGACGTCAGCGGAGCCGAATGTGCATGCGCGGCAAGTGCCACACGCGCATTCAAAGTGTCCATAGGAAAGCATTTTTCAATGGACGCTCTGCGCGATGGAGGCATAATATGATGCACCTCTAGTGGCTGTCCAGAAGACAGCCACTAGAGGCTGGCTTAACCCCAAATGTAAACATAGCAGTTTCTCTGAAACTGCTATGTTTGCATCTGAAGGGTTAAAACCTGAGGGACCTGGCACCCAGACCACTTCATTGAGCTGAAGTGGTCTGGGTGACTATAGTGTCCCTTTAAAAGTAACACAAACCTGTATTCCTGACCCTACAGTGCTAAAACTATCATTTCGGTGGCGTGTCGCCTGTTAAACCCCTTAAAAGGTAATTAAACGTACGTAATTTTCAGTGACGCGCAGGTCTGCTGGCACTGGCCCCTTCCCCGATCCACCTCTTTTCTGACAGAATTTATGTAATTGTCAAGGAGGTGGGATGGGCAGCACTGTACCAGGAAGCAACTGCAGTGGCCACTAGAGTTGTCCCTAGGGGAAATTTAAACACTGAGGGACACTATAGTCACTTTTGTATAAAGTCAGAAATAAAAAAAATTATAAAATATGTAAAACCTACACCCAAACTATTTACAATGAATTGGGTGCATCCACACCAATATAAATAAAAAAAATAGAACAAGCGTTTTTTACACTATTTATTTTTTGTCAAATTTGGGAGGGACCAGGTCTGAAACTTTGAGGGTTCACCAAATTTCATTTAGGGCTTCAGACCCAGGTATTTTTGACCCTAGCAAATCCTTGTTCTTAGCCAAAGCATATGACATTTTGTGTCTCATCAACCTTTAATAAGGCTTAAAAGATTATTCCAGATGTAGCTAAATATCATTGGACCTACCAGTCAGGGACCAGGTCATTTTTTCCAGTGCGAAGCAGCATTATGGTTCATTCATCCAGGGAATTACCAATTTAGAACAAAATAATTAAATAGGAAACGTTTTTCAACTGGGTTTATTTTATTTTTTTGCCTATGATTTGCAATTCCTTGCCACTTCAAAGTTCAGTGAATAGCCTTGTAATAATGAATTATTCACTGGAAAGAATACACTAGCATCTCAATAAAATTAGCATTTTATTGTGAATCAGATCACTATAGTGAATTACCTGCTTCTTTTGCTAAATTCTCAGAAGCACCAACATTCAGCAATGAAGCAGACTCTGGCTGATTTTCAACAATATCTGGCCTTCTCTCAGCAGCACAATGTACAATCACATGGGGCTGAAATGAAAGAACATATAAAGACGATATTTGTTTCAGTTAAAAAAAAAACAATATGGCACGCCATATTATTATAGAGTAATTCTTATCAGAGGTGGAGCTGTACCAGAACATATACCTAGATTAAAAAAAAGTAACCAAAAAACTACAAAAAAAAACCAAAAAAAAAACTACAAGGTGCAAAAGGCAATGCCTATTTAACCCGCTGTATACCATAAAATAAAGGATTTTTAACTCTCAGTATGTAGTAGTTGGAAAATGTTGTTTGTTACTAAAGCATGTAACAAATCGTGTGCGATATGTTTCCACAACTTTAGGGTTTAGCAAGACCTGCTGTTTTAATCCATTCCTACCTCTTTATCTGCACCACTGCATGGAGTCTGCACCTATTGGGAAGTGGAAGCAGTGAAATAAGCAAAGGCAGATAAGGAGGTTGTTTGGATGGTTTTAAGTTCTTATATATCAGTGTGAAAAGATCCTTATGGGCTCCATTTTGTTGCCTGAGATGAGAAATTTGGAGAGGACTGATATGAAATTCAACACAGGAAAAAAAAAAAGGGGGGGAAGGGGGGAGGATTTAGGGCATACCCGGAACATGCGTTTTTAAGTAGTGGTTGTGACGAAAGTAACCTTGCCACTGGCTATTGTTTGCCAGCCTCCTACCCTGTGACTATGGCCCCTGTGTTAAACCCTGGTTGAAACCACTGTTTGTGCCCTTTTGGACTGATACAGTAACACTTCGAACTATCGAATGGTCGAAGTTGTTCGAACAAGTGGCAGCAGCCATCTTAAGCCGCGAATACAATGAGCGGTGTTTGGTCGTCAAGTTCATGGAACTCAAATCAGACACTCAACGACACGAACACCACTAACTATTTACCTTCCATGGATGTTCAGCTATTCGAACGGGAGTCGAACAGCGTTCCGTAAGAATAAACTCCCGAACGAGAGACAAACTGACTGTACTCACGAATGGCTATGTTCAGTATTCTGGACTTTATTTAGAATTTCCAAAATAGACTGACTGTATGCGGTCGGTCAAAATGTGACTTCCATAGAATTCTTGAATCCCTGAACAGATCTGGGTGATTTTTGGATATGTTGGTCACCCAGATCAGGGCTCTCAGGGGATGTAACATTTGTGGGGATTTTATGTGGTTTTGGGGTACTTTGGGGGTTTTAAAGAAATATGTGTTATTTTCTGCCCTGGAGATAATGGAGTTAATACAGTACCTGACTCACTTATCTCCCAGGCAGAGGGGAGGGATTGTGTGCTGTGTCGTGCCTTGTAACCTTATTGTTATTGGTCTGTGATGTTGCAAATCAGTCTACCATCAGGTCCATGTGGGCGTAACCCTTGCATGTGGATTGTCATATAAGACCAAGTGTGGCTCCCATTAAACTGAAATTCATTTACCCCTTCATGAAGTCTTGGCTCATGTTTGGGGGATTGGAGAACTATATTCACTCTGGGGATTGCTATATCACAATACTCCCCTGAGTATAAGCACTAGCTCTTATAAGAGCTGTTTCTGCTATGCTCTCTGGATGAGGAGAGGTCTACCCACTGGAAGCTGTATCCTGGTCTTGGGTCCAGGGTGGTTGGAGGACAGCTAAGCCCCAACCAAGCTGCGGCGGTTCGTGGGGTTTACGGCGGTTATGGTGTTCCTGTGCAGTGCTTATGGTGCTTGCAAGTACTAAAAAGTAGCGATTGCCGGAGGTACCCGGTCGGTGCCAAGCGGTTCGTCACAGTGGTGCTGCCTTAAAGACCAAAATATGCATAAAATAGACTCTGTATTTTGTATACATTATGGTCTTTAAGGCAGTAGCCCTATTTAGAAATGCATGTTCCAGGTATGACCTGAATTCTCCCCTTTTCTTTTCTTAAATCAAGGCCAGATTTCTATTGGGCTGAGCATCCACAATATTCACATTGGAGGTGTCCACAGGAAGGAATAAATGAAGGAGTGTCTCTAGAAGCATTTTAAGCAGTAAGTATTGCAGTTAGCATGTTCATCTCCCATGTTAAAATTAGTGTAGAACCCACAGATATTGGGTAACTGCGACGTAGTGGTGGGCTTAACAAAATATGGCCATATAGTGTAACAAACCCCACATTTGTTTCCTAAAATGGGTGATTTTAAGTAACTTCGTAGAATTTAAAACTGTAATTTTGTTGTGCGTGCTGTTCTTTAGTCTGTATTTTATGAAATTCAACATTAAGTGATACCACCATACACCCTCTCCATGTGATCCACCGGTAACTGATTTTATGTGACTTACTTCACAGATAGTGTTTATAACACAACCCAGATATTGAATTATAATATTTAAGACCAGTGCTCTTGAAAGTGTGGTCATGCAAAAGAGAAACCAAGGCTTCTACATTTTATAAAAGAGCTCCAATGGCTAGTAATCAGCTTATGGGCTGGGCTCTTGTATTTGTCTGTGTATATTGTACAGCGCTGTGGAATTTGTTGATGCTTTAAAAATACCAGTAATAACAATAATGACGCAAGCCATCCCCATAAGATCCCACTTGAAAAAGTTATACATGAATTTTACTTTTGCACTGATTTTTTTTTCTTTTTTAGTAGGAATCTATTAGCTGCACACACATGCAATGATCCTATAAAAAGATAAACCAAAACGGAGTTGACTAGTCTAGTTGTACAGACTGATGATTTGCAACAAATGTAGTAATGAAAAAAAAAAAAAATCTAATACAAGAAAAAAGTGCCTATAATGGGTTGAGCTCTATAATGCACAAGGCTGCAAGTTCCCCATAGAACACACTTATAGCCACACACACCCCATGGCAAGGATAAAAAGACACATACTTATTGGAAAAAGAATATAAATCACACATTACCTTAAAATCCTGGACCAGTGCTTCCACGGCTGCTGCATCCAATAGGTCAACACGTTCAAACCTGGGCCGTGCCCGACTGTATCCACAACCCACCACATGCCAGCTGTTGTCTTTGAACTCTTTATACACAGCACGGCCAAGGAGTCCAGTGGCCCCAGTTATAAGAGCTCTTCTGTTGGGAACAACATCCTCCTCCTAAATAAAAAGACAAGCATGCTGTGTTTTAATTAATCTTGTAATTTTGGTAAGTATACAGGATAATGACTATATCCTCAAGAAATATAAAAGGAAAAATATATTCAACATCTTTTTTCTAAAAATAAAAAATTCTTATCTCTGTTATTACTTTGCGGAGCACTTCAAGCAACATAACAATTTCATCCCGATTTTATTACTTGTGACTTCTCTTTTTTTTTTTTTTTTTTCACCTCTATTTTTGTTTAGTCTGGTGTCACATCATTGGTGGTGGTCTTCCGGTCCCTGTTTCCTGCACTCCCACCGCTGCTCTGTTTATATGTTGTGATTGTTTTCACTATGCTTGGTTGAGCAGGACATCCTGTAGGAGATCTTTTCTGCTCCTCCTTGCCAGTTAATGCCTCAGTATGCCTGTTCTTAAGTCTGTGTTCTCCTAATCTATACAAAACTGCTAGCACAATGTACAGATAGAACTGCATGCTCAATCTAATGAGTACAAGTTGTTTGGGAAATAGTTGTGGTGTATAGATCATGCCCCTGCAGTGTCACTGCTCAAAGCTCTGCCATTTAGTAGTTAAATCACTTTGTAGCACTAGCCACACATTCTCTGGCTGAGAATATATATATATATATATATATATATAATATATTCGGGGCAATATGGCCGAACACAGAAATCTTAGTATATTATAAACATAACATCCATGAGTTAGCACCAGTCGGTTGTGGTGTGCCGGAACCGACAAAGCAGTAGGCCTGTAATAAAAGTGGGCCCACCTTAGAGGGTGTTACGAATAGAGAGAGTGGTGGGAGGGTTGACTCGCCAGACCAGCAACAGTAAGGTGGGAGTGGATTGGCAGCCCTTTTAAAGGGAAACCAAGCCCCTCCCACAACTACAGGCCAAGCCTTTTAATATATATATATATATATATATATATATATATATATATATATATATATATATATATATATACACACACACACACACACACACACATACACACACACACACACACACACACTTTTTAGCTTCTCTTACCAAGTTCTTTTCTCCTGCTCTTGTAATAATCTGCTAGTGCCTGCAACATCTACGAGTGTGTGACTAAAGTTCAACTGAGACACCAGAAGATCAGACATTGTAAAGCAAGCATGTCAAACTCAAAGTCTAGCATGGGTCACATAAACAAGATTTAAGTTTATGTGGGCCGCAAAGAAAAAAACACTTTACATTTTCCTAGAAACATAGAACAGCATCCCCCTCTACTAAACCACAGCACCCCATATACTAAATCCCAGTCTCCCCCATATACTAAATCCCAGTCCTCCCCTTCTACTAAATCCCAGCACTCCCCTCTAGTGAACAAGCAGGCTCCACTCACATTGCCGGTGCCAGTATGCGACTCCGGAGTCCGGCCTCTCGTATACCCCAAATGGCGCCGTCCGCACCCTGTGCCAAATCTGATCCTCCCGCTACTTCTTGAAACCCTGTGAAGGTGGAGCACGCTGATGTCACGTCGAAATGTGGCGTGGCGTTACGTGCCTCCATGCACCTCCAGGTACTCCACTGTCCAGTCGCAGCCAATGTAACAATGACCCAGACACACACACACACACACACACACTACTTTATTGCTCCATCCCTTTTGGAGCCAATGTGGGGCATCTCCCTGGAATCCTATCTGCTCCTCACTGCTCCCTCGCGCGGTTTAGTGGTGCCGGAATATGACGTCATATTCCGGCGCCCGGCTTCACTAAAGACGGCGAGGGAGCAGTGAGGCGCATGAACACTGAGCTCCCTCGCTGGTCCTCCACCCTGGCCGGGTAAGTTTTAGCATAGTAGGCAACTGCAATGTGGGGAAAGCACGTGCCTACTCTGCTATAACAAGGCATGTACTCGCGGCTCCTCAGGCCGCAAAGATGTCCCTTGTGGGCCGCAAGTTTGACATGCTTGTTGTAAAGTAAGAACACTGCAAAATATGATAGAAAATGAAACCATGTTATTTTTTCATGTTGGCTGTGTGAGTCACAGCCAGGGGAAGTGTGGTTAGAGTTGCATAAATAATAGAAAAAAATATATAATGATTTTAATGCTAAATGGCAGAGAATTTGAGCAGGGAGACTGAAGGAGTATGATTTGTACACCAGAAATGCTTAAAGGGACACTCAAGAACCCTAAAACACTTTAGCTTGCTGAAAAGCTTTGTGTGTGAAGATTTTGTCCTAATAAAAATTTGACACTTGTATGGATTAACTAGGTAACAACCCCTGGCTTTCAAGCAGACAATCAGTCATGTTACGTCCTGGTTTGATTAACTCAGAGCAACTGCCTTGCAAAGACTTCTCACTGAGCTACATTGGGAGGTCTGTCATTGGACAGCCACACAAAGTCTAGGCAGAGTTAGAAGAGGAGGGGTGACAAAAACAGCAGATAAAAGAACTGTAGCTTTTGCAAGTTGTTTGTAGATATACTCCAAATAAAAATATATATATATATAATTAAATGCATGCATGTTACACATTTGGGTTATATGTACTAAACTTTGATTTTAATTTACTTTGTATTAGGCATTGGGTGTCTCTTTAATGTTATTTTGCTACTTAGAGTATCCCTTTAATAATCTCTCAATACAAGGATTGGGCTGCAGCAAATCTGTACTGGCACTGTTTTGTAGGTATGTTTAACCCCTTAACGCCGTTATGGCGTTCTATGCCATCCCCATTCTAATTGGCTTTAAAGCCGCTGCGGCGGCATAGAACGCTGTAACGGCTTAAGCCCCCAGGAGTTCCGGTGGACTTCCGCCACAATCCTCTTCGGGAGGACTGCCTGGGAATCAGGCCCCCAGCGATTATGTGATCGTGCGATCATATGGCCCCCTATAGCTGGCTGTGGATCTGCCAGCATGGGGACTGCCTGGACTGTCAGACAGTCCCACTGCTAGTGGGAAGTATAAAAAAAATAAAATAATTAAACATGTTTGTAACGGACCGTTTTGCCCAAAAAAGAGGTTAAAAACCGTTTAGGCGATATTCCCCTTTTTCAGCTGCACCGACAGCTACTGCAAGCACCAATCTCCTGAACTGCAAACCCACGAATTCACCAACTCCCGAACTGCAACCAAGGGAATACTCGAAACTCCCGAACTGGAGACACACGAATAGCTGCTAGCAGACGAACAGGAAAAGCCCCCAAGCGGCATACACTCCTGGCAATCAGTCTCTAACAGCATACAGTAAATCCTCCCCCAATAATGAGACAACACTTCACTTTGAGGGTTAAGCAGGAACTGATTTACTGGGGCTAACTGCCCGGCTTTTATGCAGGTCTCTAGGGGACCAAATGGGAGACTGGGACACAAAGGGTAAAAGGACCAATCACAGACTTACACATTTCAACCATCCCACAATGCATCACAATCCCTCCTCTCTGCCCTGGAGATAATTTGGGAAGTAATTCAATTATCTCCAAAGACAGAGGAAAAACTCCATTAATCACATGGCAGAAAACAAACAGTAAAAGACATAAAACATATATGTTCTACATATCCCCAGATAGCTCAGGTCTGAGCGCACATTATTAAGCGAATGGCGCTCAGACCACACGAATACAGTTTAATCGCCATGGAGCTAAAGTCTTTACACAGTCAGTTTCATGCGAATGGGCTCCATGGGATTCCTATCTGGAGCACAACACACTCAAACAAAACTACCGAACACCGGGCCGTTCGTGAACTTTCACCGAACAAGAAGGGAGGTCGGCGGCTTCAGCGGTGTTCGCACAAAACTGTGTCCGATTTCAGTTCCATGAATTAAGCGTTGAACACCGCTGTGCATTCGCATGTTTAAAATGGCTGCGACCTCGTGTTCATGATACGAATGCCAGCCACCCAGCATTCGTCAATTAAGCTGCGGTTAACCGCAGCTTCAGGGAGGTTAATTGCCGGCACACTCCAGCTCCCAGGTGGTCTATTCATTCCTGCGGTTGTTCGGTAGATTGAATATACCGAACACCCGGCAGAAAAGCACGAATAAGTCTTTTCTGCAGGGAAAAAAGATGTCTTTTAACATGGGGCCATAGTCCAAAGGCAGCAGGCGAGCAACCAGGCTTTTCCAGTGTACAGTGGCGAGGTTGGTTTCGCCACAATGTTTAAAATAAATTAAATGTACATAATATATATGTAACGTCCGTTATTTTAGTATATTAATATAAGTACATATATTAGTATTAAAATACACTTAGAATGAAGTTACATTATATATATATATATATATATATATATATATATATATACACACACACACACACATATATATACACATACACACACGTATAATAACAATAAAATTTAATTTTTTTTAAATGAAAATAAATTATATATACATATGTAATTTCATTATAATATATATATATATATATATATATATATATACACACATACACACACACACTTAGAATGACAATCTATATACAAAATACAAATAACCGCAGATCTATATAATTACATTAATGATTACATAAGTATACTTGTAGAATTTAGATACATATATAAGAATATATATTAAAATTATATGTGTATATTTAAGTAATCTTTTAGCAGAATTAAGTGATTTTATTAATTAAAATTTCATTGACATGCCTGACAACCCAGGCAGAAAGTGCAGAGAATGTAATTTGCAAGCACTATATTTAACACTAACTTTCCAAAACACCTGTACATGGGGGCTACTGTTTTACTCGGGAGACTTCATTGAACACAAATATTAGTCTTTCAAAAATATAAATTGTATTACAACGATGATATTTTTAGCAAAAGTTATGTTTTTTTTTCATTTTTCACACATGAACTGCACTTTTACTGACACTATTATTGTTGTAATATGTTTTACAGTTTTGAAACACTAATGTTTGTGTTCAGTGTGGTCTCCCAAGTATAACATTACACCCCCCTCCCCTCCCATCTCATGTACAGGATTTATGGTGTTTTGGAAAGTTAGAGAGTCAAATATAAGGCTTGCATTTAATTTTTTTCACATTGAAATTTGCCAGCTTGGTAATGTTCCCTTTGAGACTTTATGGTAGCTCAGGAATGAGAATTATCCCTGTAACGGATCACCTGGCACCCCGACTGGGTACCTCCGTTGAAGGATGCTCCTAGCGCTTCCTGAGGATTCCAAGCACTGCAGCAGACACCACAACCTCCGAACCAGAGAAGCATATACCTTCTCTCAAGCATATGAATGCTGTAGACAGTTGAATAGGAACCATACGAATAGGTTTACTCTCCTAGCAGTCAAACTGGAACAGCATACAATGAATCCTTCCCCCAATAATGAGACGACACTTCACTTTGAGGGTTAAACAGGAACTCCAGTGCTGGCACACCCAGCCAGGTTTTTATTACAATCCACAAAACATAGTACTGCCCACAGGGTTTTGCAGAACCACCAATAAACACATTACAACACATACAATGCAAGTACAGCAGCCAATCAGACACAATGGGACAATAGAAACACACCCAGCATATTCCTCCCTTCTGCTTAGGAGATAATTGAGTCAATTACTGTATCTACTCAATTATCTCCAAGCTGAAAAGTTACTTTTTGTACATTTTTATAACTTTGGGAGTTAACATCGTACATACATAAAACTTACATTTTCATAATCAATCCATTCAGGGGAACAACATATTAAAGGACCACTCTAGGCACCCAGACCACTTCAGCTTAATGAAGTGGTCTGGGTGCCAGGTCCTTCTAGGGTTAACCCATTTTTTCATAATTATAGCAGTTTCAGAGAAACTGCTATAATTTTGAATGGGTTAAGCCTTCCCCCTAATCCTCTAGTGGCTGTCTCATTGACAGCCACTAGAGGCGCTTGCGTGCTTCTCACTGTGATTTTCACAGTGAGAGCACGCAGTGCTGGTGGAAACTACTGTAAATGCTTTCCTATGACGGGTTGAATGCTACAAGAGGCCTTTGCCAAGCGCTGCATGCATTCAATGGGCGGGCGAACGGAGGCGGAGAGGAGGAGGAGCTCACCAGCTTGGAAAAGGTAAAGCTTAAACCCCTTTCCCTTCCAGAGCCGGGCGGGAGGGGGGACCTGAGGGTGGGGGGGGCATTAGGAGAGAAAAGAAAACAAGTATGTTTTCCCTGGCACTATAGTTAAAAAATGGCACGAATCAGACCAGGGGTTCAAAAGTTAAGGGAAAGTCCTTTGTGACTAAATGAAGCATGGCTTTCTGGCACAAACCAGTTTCAGAGTCTTCTATCCTGGAGATAAGTAATTCAATTATCTCCCAGGACAGACACAAGACTCCATTAAGCACATGGTTGCAAAAAGACACAAAACACTTTAAAATACATAAAGTCACTTTTACACATAACACACAGACATTTCACATATCCCCAGATAGCTGGGATCTGAGCGCACAAAACTACCGAATAGCGCTCAGATCCTATTCACACAGTTCAATTGCCATGGAGCCGAAGTCTTTAACTACACGAATGGGCTCCATGGCATAGCTATCTGGGTTAACACATTCACATAAAGTCTGGTCCATAGTCCAAAGGCAAGAGGCGGGCAAGCAGCCCCCTCCAAGGACACGTGGCGAGGCCGGTTTCGCCACAATCCCCATGATAGCATACCATTTGAAAAAGTAGGGGACCCAAGGTATTGCAGGTGGGGTATGTTCAGCCTTTTTTAGTAGCCACTTGGTCACAAATACTGGCCAAAGTTAGTGTTAATATTTGTGTGTGAAAAATGCAAAAAAACTAATTTGAACGCCAAATTTGGCAAGTGTTTGTGTCACATCACGCCATGTTCTGCGGAGATGTCTGGCTTTGGCTTCTGGTATCCAGTACTCTTTTTACATTTCTTGTTTAGTTTTTCTGGTTTTCTATTCTGTGTCTGGTTTTCTTTATGCTGGGTTTTTCTGGGTTCATTCCTGTAATCTGTCCCTGGAATTCCCAGTCTCCTGGATTCATTTATATGTTTGTTTTATGTTGCCACACCCGTTTGTTTTCCTGGACCTGCAGCAGTGTTTCAAGTGTCTGCCTTTTCTTGCAGGTAAGTGCGATTGTGGTTTAGTATGGTTCTTTTAGCGAACATTAGGCAGTGTAGGACCTGCCAGATATGGGGTACATTGGCGTTGTTGGCAGGCTTATGCAATGTATGATCATATAATGTGACTAAATCCCCATGATTTTCAGATAGAGTACTTAGTTATGTCTCCTCTTGTTTTACCTTGTATCTCTTGTCTTGTTTTATTTTGTCTTGTATTCTCAGTTCATGTACTGTCCTGTCCTGTTCTTGTTTTCCTCATGTCTTGTGTACATGTTCTGCTTTCTGTCCTGCTCTGGTTCTGGGTTCTCCTAGTTTGGTCTTGTTTTCATGTTTGGTGACTATCCTATCCTAGCCTAGCCTTGCCTTGTTTCTGTACTGGATACATTCTTGCTGCAGATCCTCCCTATTCAGCTCCGGGGAGGTCTGCTTATTTCCTAGCTCCTAGTTCCTCAGATCCGCATAAGCTGCATCAGGGTTCTGGTATGTGGCTGCACAAACGCTTGTGCTCAACACCAGGGGGCGTGCGGTTACCCTGCACCAGACTGATAATCCTCTTCCACGCTGAGACTCCCTTCTCATCAGGCACTCAGGGGTCCCGGTTTCCGTACCGCCACCCGTGACAGTTTGTGACTTATTGGCTACTAAAAAAGACTGGACATACCCCATTTGCAATACCTTTGGTTGTCTACTTTTGCAAATGGTATGCCATCATGGGGGTAATTCTCATTCCTGGGCTACCACACAGTCTCAAAGGTAACATTAGTAATCTGGCAAATTTCTATGATAAAAAAACAAACAAAAAATGGAATGTGCTATCTTTGACCCTGTAACTTTCCAAAACACCGTAAAACCTGTTAAAGGGGGTACTGTTTTACTCGTGAGACTTTGCTGAATACAAATTAGGGATCGACCGATTATCGGTCTGGCCGATATTATCGGCCGATATTCTGCATTTTCGGCAATATCGGTATTGGCCTATAGAGATGTCGATAATGCATACCAGGACAAGCCCGGCAGTCCTGGAGGTTGCGCAGCAAGCTCTTCCTTACCTTCCCAGCATTTTTTATCTCCCGGCCAGCGTGCCGCAGGGAACACTACCATGGTAACCCATTGCAATGCTCTGACGGCACTGGGACTCGTGAGATTTAGACAGGGGAGCTGAAGGGAGCTGCTGGAAAGGGAAGTAAAAGCTTGCTGCGGACCCTCACTGCACAGTTCATGCCACTGGACCACCAGGGAATGCCATATTCCCCCCGGCCAAGTAAGAAGCAGGAAGGGGGGGGACAAAAAAAATATTTTAAATAAAAATAAAAAGGCCCCCCCCCTCCCTATTTTACACACATATTACATAGCTACAGAAACACACACACACACACTGCATTCACTTTGCGCGCGCGCGCGCGCGCGCACTGCATTCACTTTGCGCGCGCGCGCTGCATTCACTTTGCGCGCGCGCTGCATTCACTTTGCGCGCGCGCTGCATTCACTTTGCGCGCGCGCTGCATTCACTTTGCGCGCGCGCGCACGCACACTGCATTCATTTTGCGCACACACTGCATTCACTTTGCGCGCGCGCACACACACTGCATTCACTTTGCGCGCGCGCAAACACACACAGCTCCCCTGTCTAAACACACTGCATCCACTACATGTGGCATGTATATTTTGTGCATTTACCTTCAGAAATAGTTTATTTTTTCAAAATGGTAAATGTACAGAATATTGGCAAGTTATCGGCTATAGGCCTGAAAGTTCACAGAATATCGGAGTTGGCTCTAAAAAAAAATTAAAAATTAAAATATTGGTCTAATACAAATATGTGCAATTTCTTTTGCTGTAAAAGCCATCAGTGTTATGACATTTATAGCAAAAATGTCAGGCGGAACTACAAATATATTTTTTTAAAATCTTTATTTCTTACAGTATTTTATTCATATTAAATTGTTTCATACCTAAATATTTCATGTTAAATGAAAGCCCCATTTCTCCTGAGTAAAATTATATATAATAAGTGTAGGTGCACTTAATATGAAATATTAATATATAAGGTGAATTATGGTTGAACAGACATATAGCGCAAATTCCAGTTTTTGTTTTGATGTTGAACGTGAACAATTGATGCTGTCCTGAAGGGGTTAAAAAGGAGTTTCTGAAGTGAATTTTTTGTTTTTGTTTTTTTTTTTACTAGCCCAGAGACAAAAATCTGACATCTTATATTGTCCTGCAGTATGATTTGTTTTCCTTTTCTTCTGATACAGGAAATTAAGACTTTCATAATGCCAGGGTTATTATTATGTCCAAGACTTCCTCATTAAATCAGTGGCATCTCTACCCCATTTAATATCAATATTTCAGTGTCAAATGAAGATGTGCCCTGCCTGCTTGGCTTTGCAGTATAAAAGTATAAACTTGTAATTCAGGAGTTAAAGCAGGGAGTTTTAATCTAATATCACTGATAGATTAATGTTTCAGCAACTCAGATATCTGCTAGAACGATTTGTGGTAATACAAATTAATCAATTATCAAGATGTGATTCACCATAGCATTGAAATAACTTCTTAGTAAACTGGAATGGGAAACTCCTGTTAAAAAAAAAAAAAAAGTTCTGCAGCTACATGCGACAACTACATTTCTACAAGAATTTACAACAAAAAGTTTTTTTTTATTTCATCTGGTGAAGTTATTACAACATATCAGTTTCTGTAAGACATACTATTTATTAGAAAAATTAAAATATGCAATATTTTTCCCCTTCTCATTTAGCAATTAAAGCAAAGGCAAACTTTTTTTGTACCCAATATTTCATAGCATTCAGACCTATGATGCTAAGCAAACAGATCTACTGATCTGAGCATCACAGGAGACACAGTCCATAAAAGTTAAAAGGTAAAACGTTTACCAGAACTACAGAAGACTGCAGCAACAACATAAACTCAATTGCAAAAAACACAAAAAAAAAAATTATAATAAAAATAAATAATAATCAGCCTGCAAATCTTGTCATGGAATGTGCAAAATTAGAATGGCACCTGAGCAGCCAAAACATATGTTGCCAGATGTGCCTTGTTTTTCTAGATACACATCCTTTCTACAGGCTGATGGGCAGGGCATAATAAGTGATGCCCTGTAGTATATAGGCATTAAATGCTGCAGGCGTGCCCTTCTCCCTAAGTAATGTATCTCAATATATGTGTAGCATATAAATGCTACGTGTAGCAGAACATAAATAACTTTACAGTAACTATTCACAAGATGAAGGGTTTATGTGCCCAGCAGAATATGACAACCTCATGCATACATTGCGATGAATGGGGACGTTGTCTATTAATTGCCTAACACACAAACTGTGTCTCACCTGCACCACTTCCACCCAGCCAGGTAAGAAGCGTATCTTGTACTCTAGCTGTCTGCCCTCCATCGAACCAGCGCTGTTTTCCTTCCTTCCAATCTGTATCACTGCGACAGATCGCAGAGAGGACAGGAAGCCGCTGGGCGTGGCCAATCACACCATAGGCTGTCTGCGTCCTGGACGTTCTGTTCTAGCCAATAGCAGCGCGCGAATCACGGCCTCGCCAAGGTCTCCCCCTCACAACAGCACTTCGGGCACTCAGAGCTAGGCGAACTTTAATTGGCAGTTGCTGAACGTTTCTCATTGCAATGAACCAATTACAGTATTTGGAACACGTAGCAACTAAGTATAACCTTGTCTGCAGCCAATTGTAGATACATGTTGTTTGTGTGGAACGTTACGCGTTGGAACACAATAATCCCATACATTCTGCCGCATGTAAACAACATCACGTCACCAACAGTCATTTCAATATACTTTATTGCAATAAAGTGTCAACGAACATAAATGTGAAACAGACTGCAAGTGACTGAGTGAATCGAAATGTTTCTGTAAATGTTAAACTTTTGCTAATAATGCATTGATCATAGCTCAACATTCTGCCTTACAACGAGTATTATTGCAAAATAGTTTTTTAGACCGCTCTACATTCATATTAACTGTGTATTCCTATGGGTAGATCATTTTAAACAATGTTACTACGTAATTTTATGTGAGCAAACTTCCTTTAACCTTAAATTGTAATGTGTATATATAGTTAAAGAAATTTCATCAAGAACAAAAAAACAAAAAGATACATATTTTGCATACTACCACTCTCACTCCACTCAGTTATCATATCTACCAACATGTCAAATTGACAAAGATGGACATTGTAATTTTAAGGTTTTAGTTACGAGGTTGAAGTTGGTTTCTTATTAGGCAAGTTTCTTATTCGTGGAAGTTGGTTTCTTATTCGTGAAACTTGGTTTCTTATTTGGAGTCAACTCTGATTATAATTTAAATTACACTTGTATGTTTCATTGCAGTGCAACCCAAATTTAAAAAAAATGACAACATGTAGGCAGTGGCGTAATTACCACAGTCGCAGAAATCGCAACTGCTGTTGTTCATGCCAAACTTGCCATTGGGCCACACTAAAAACAATTGTGTTTCATAGAGTGCACACTACTCTGTGGAAATCTATGGGAAAATAAGTGGTCCAAGGGCAATTAATTGTTTGAAAACATCAGTTACCTATTGAAAATAATGAAAAACAACACCCATTGCAGGGTTAACAATGTTTTTTTATGTCCAAATTGCCTTTTGGGGTCAGGCTAAAACAATGGTGTTTAATAGAAAGAAAGAAAACAGGTTGCGCCGGATAACTAGACAGTACTGGTATTGCTAAGGAATACAGTTATATGCAAGTAGTAGTAACTGGAATCTATAATTACAAAGAATGTCCTCGTAAATAATAAGAAAGTTAAGCGAGGAGCCATCTGTTGACTCGATTGTCTCTGCTTCTGACAATATAATCCTTGTCACTGGATATTAGGTGAAGAATCATACCAGGGTCTTTGTAGGGACACTGGTACGTCTTACGTTATCTTTACTGCATACGCATCTCAAATGGAATACAGAAAAGGGGGATCCAATAGTGTAACTCAATAGAACAAACCCATTGTGTATATAAAAAGAGATTAAAATGTACTCACAAACAAAGAGCTTCCAATGCAGCTCTTAATAAGATCTTAAATATATAGGGTGAGGTAGAGGCAAAAAAGCCTACAAAATTAAAAGTATAAACAAAGAAGATTAGACCTGTGCTGCTGATACTCCACACTGAAGTCCCAACAGTGTATATACAACCAAAAAACAAACAAGAGTCCTGCGCATCCAGTATAGGTGTGCACACCCAGGTGCTACCACAATTTATTTGAGGACAAAGTTAAAGCAGCAAACGTTTCTGAACGGGATGATGTCATCACGCACATTTCTGTCGATCCAGGTAGTGACTGGAATCATCAAACATGCCAGAGTGATGGAAATGTACTGCACATCTGATCCTGCTTCTAGATTTGATTACCTGGGCTGGCACTTTTGGTTTATGTAAGCACTATTTTTTTGTATATATTGTTGTTATCTTGCATATTCTGTAGGACATTAGCATTGAGAAAGGGCTGTTGCCTGAAACATTTGCTGCTTTAACTTTGTCCTCAAATTAATTTTGGTAGCACCTGGGTGTGCACACCTGTACTGGATGCGCAGGACTCTTGTTTGTTTTTTGGTAGTAAGATCTTAAAGCTGTATAACCCCGCTCACTGATATAGCTTGTAAAGGATGTGCCTCCGTCTTTTCCAATGGGTATATAGTAAAATATAGAAATGAGGAGAATAGTGTTCTCTGTCTGTATTGGAAATTTCAATTTGTAATTAAAAGTAAATTGTACTCACATTTAAAGAAGCATATACATGCTCATTGCAATCAGCGTGGGTAATACAATCTCCACCTGGGAAATGTTAGTAGATAAAATGCAGAGCTGTCTGAAGGTATTTACCAAAAATAATAAAATAATCAAGGATAGCTAGGAAGGAGAAGACCCCAAATATGATCTGATCTCACAGGGGTTGTAGTGAGCTAGGAAAGAGGCCTTAATCAGGAGGCCTCGGGCTCCGCCCACCCCCAGGATACCTACTAACATACACATATGGCTAATATTTAACAATTCATGCCAGTATATCAATGATGTCTCCAAACCATAAAGGCTTGGATGTGCCAGACACTCGCAACAAAATGAGAGGTTGTTAAAAACTATATAAGTGAATGGCGCTTTCACAGTATCTCCACGGTTTTGGGTGTGAAAGGCATTCTCCAACACCCCTAAATGACTAAACAACAAGGTACTTAGAAAAGTACAATACACACTAAGTATACACACCCTCTGCCATGCAGAAAAACAAATAAAGTACTCTGTGCCAAACAAGGAAAGAGAATACTTATGCACTTGTAGACAGATATAGTTGATGTATATATGTATATTTTAAAATGATCAAAAGAAAGAACTGAACATAGTGTATACTGTGATAACCAATATATAAATAACAAGTGTAGAATCACACTCACAGATTACAGAGCCAGGGAGGATAGATAGGCTGCTGTTATAATTAACAGATTAGTGCTGGTTTCAAATGGATTGGTGTCTAGAATGACTGAAAGTGCACAAAATTGAGGTCCGTCAATAGGTATTCTAGTAGTGTTAGTTGGTTTGTCCAAGCCTTTCAGAATATTCTTGACGGGATAGGTAGACATGAAAGGATACATGCTAGGATAGGCACTTAGGATGTGATCTTGTGTTCCTGTGAGGTAGAGTTTAGTGATAATTTTAGGTTAAGGTTGCAAAAAGAGATAAACACCACTATGGAGTCTAGGGAGTGTGAGTGTTTGTCACTTATCTGGTAATCTAAAGTGAATTTGGTATAGAGAGTGACTGCTCTATTGTAAGCCCATGATATATTGGTAGAGAGGGCCGAGCTGGCCAGATATCTGCTGTGTGCTAAGAGGCAATCTAGTCCAGTATTAGGTCTTGATATGAGGGAGTGCTGACCGGACTGATGTTGGCTGTAGGATGGGCTCTGAAGAAATCCTGCAAATTAGAATGAGACAATGTGTCAGCGGCTGGAAAGTTAGGTTAGTGGTAGTGTCTACTGTTTTTTCCTGAGACAGTGGAACCCCAATAGCTGAGAATAGAACCATTGTTTTATAAATACTGACTGGAGTGGCCTGAGGTAATTTTATAGTGAGAAAGTTGTCTAGATAATGAATGACTGATGGACAGGGGCGTACCTAGAGCATTTGGCACCCGGGACGGATCCTGTGCTTGGCACCCCCTTGCCCCCCCCCCCAAAAAAAAAAAATGTTAAAGGTTTTCTTTCTTTTTTTTTTTTACAATTTGTAAACTTTGCAAAACCGCTGTCAGCCCCTCCTACAAAACCCTTGCCCTGCCCCGCACCTCCTACAAAACCTCTGTCCTGCCCCTTCTACAAATCCTATACTGCCCCGTCTACAAAACCCCCACAACCCCCTTCCACAAATCCCCTGCTTATCCCCCCTTATAAAGACGCCTTTTCCCAATACAAACCCCCCGCCCCCTTCAAAATCCCTGCAGCCCCACACACAGATTTACAGGCAGACAGTCACACACTCAGTTACAGGCAGACAGTCACACACTCAGTTACAGGCAGACAGTCACACGCACACAGACACACATGCAGTCACAGACAGTCATATATACATTGACACACATGACAGCAGGAGACAGTCACATGCACACAGTCACAGACAGTCAGACAGTCACACACGGTTACAGGCAACATCAAACAGTCACAGGCAGACAGTCACACATACACTTTTCCTCCGTGCGGCCAATTTATCAGCTGTTTGCTTGTGTGAGCTGTACTGGCCGCATGGCACCCTAACTACCATGGGGCACTGTGCGGCCACAGCTCACACAGCCCCCTCCAGCCAGGGCCGGTGCAAGGATTTTTGCCGCCCTAGGCAAAAGTATAGTTTGCCGCCCCCCCAATGCCCCACCCATATGATCTGCCATGTTAACTAACGCCAGTGCTGCTGTGCTGCAGTGCCGCCGTGTTTACATTAAAAGGCCTGCAGGGACAGGCTATAGACACCAGAACCACTACATTAAGCTGCAGTGGTTCTGGGGACTATAGTGTCCCTTTAATGTGAGGTAAATTAGAGCTTAGTGCCATGAATAATATACTAGATTGCCTACTTACAACCAGATGAGGATGATGATGGGCTCTAGCTGCAGTCTGGCTCCACAGGTCTGGTGTAGAACAGGCTCTCTGGAGGCGGTTTGTAACTGTGGTCACAAAAATGATGTTCTGGGAGAACGGGAATCAGCTCCATTTTTTGGGGGCCCTATACACAGCTCAAGGTCTGGGTCCCAGGTTCCACCTTCATGTTCCACCAATGAGTTTGTTCACAGGGGGTGGAGTATGTAGGGGATGTCCTGATATGTGTGTAAGGAATGCATTGTGTGAATCTGTGTTTGTATGTGTAAGGGCTGCAAGGTGTGTTTCTGTGTATGTACAGGATGCAGTGTGTGTGTCTGTAAAGGATGCATTGGGTGTGTGTAAGGGGTGCATTGAGTGTGTGTAATGAATGCATTGTGTGTTTCTGTGTGTGTAAGGGATGCACTGTGTGTAACGGTTGCATCCAGGGCCACCATCAGGGCATGACAACCATAACGACTGCTCCGGTCGTCCGGTCCCCACATTCAGTGGTGTACATACCGGGTTGCAGGGGGCCCTGCGACCCCGGTATGTACCCACTGTGGCCAGCCTCTTCTCCTGGGGGGCCCAGCAGCCAGTCACCTCAGGGCCCCCCAGAGGCTGGCCCTGCTGACACCCGGCGGGTGAGTGGGCGGGTGCGCGAGGGAGCACTTGATTTACAAAAAATGTACTATGATTAAAGGATTCATGAGTTGCATTATTTCTGGCAAATTCAGCCATGGTTAAGAGTTCATACCAATTGGACTGATTGGCATCGATAAAGCAACGCAAAGAGGATTCTAAAGATTGATTGGCTCTCTCTGCTGCGCCATTAGTCTGAGGATGGTACGAAGAGGAAAATGAAAGTTCTATGCCCAATTGTTTACAGAAGGCACGCCAAAACCTATAAATTGGGTACCTCTGTCAGAAACAATGTTTTTTGGTACTCCATGTAAGCGAAAGATTTCCTTTATGAAAATTTAGACTAGATCTTGAGCAGATGGCAATTTTTTGTGCCATCTTGGAGAATCTATCTACCACCATGAGGATGGTGTGTGGCAGGACTGCCACTTTAGTCCTTTGTGGAATATGGAATGGCTGTTCTATTTGTATGTGTATGCAGTAGATGGCATTCGGATGCTTGTTGCCCGAAAGCCATACGCTGTTAAACTATTAGTTTCACGAATGGTATTAAAATCCACCGTTCGTGAAACGAAGTAAACTACTGAATGGGAGACCACACACAGGGGGCCGTGTGTCTCCCATTAAGGATGGTTACAATGTATCACCGTTAATTCAGGTATATGCGGATGGCCGCTGTTCGTATGCCAGCCATCTTTTTCTCCCGAAAGCCTAGCGGTGTTTGGTCGTTGAGTGCCTGGAACTAAAATCGGCTACTCGACTTGCCATGACTGTTCGTGTAAATATATATTCGCGTGGCTTTCGTTTTCTATAGCAGGGATCTGAGCGGCATTTCACCATATGGTGCGCTCAGGTCCCAGCTATTGATCAAGGTCAATTCAACCGTATATTATGCCTGTTATGGATTTTAATGTTAAAGTGCCTGTTTTACTGTACGGAGAGATAATGGGATTATCAATACATTCTTGGCCAATTATCTCTCCAGTACAGTATAGCCTGATGGGAAATGTCCTTGCAAGAGGAATTGATTAAAGAAACCCCTTGCATGGGACACTGCATAAATACTGGAACTTGTGAATAAAACTTTAGTTGACTCCCAGAACTGTGTTTTGTCCGGTTACTGGGGGATTTGGGATATTACCTTCTTTCAGCGCTTTTCTTGGATTACTTTATTTTACCAGCGGAAATATTGGGATTTAATATTGCAGCTCCGCTACATGGTGTTATACCCATAAGAACTGGGGAGTTCCACAATGAAATCCATGGCTAAATGGGTCCATGGAGCATCAGGTATTGGAAGTGGCTGTAGCAACCCAGGGGTAGATTTATGAGATGTTTTGGAAACAGCACATATTTGACATGCCCCTACATAGTCTTTAACGTCACCTCTGAGTGTAGGCCACCAAAATGTCCTGGAAATGGCAGAGAGAGTTTTATGTATTCCGGGATGTCTTGCTGTCAGATTATCATGAAATAATCCAAATACTTTTTTCCTCAACAATGGTGTAACATACAGTTTGTCCGGAGGTTTCTCCACAGGTGCCTGAGTTTGATCTGCTATTATGGCACAAAAAAGTGGAGAAGAGACTTCGGAAATCGTAGTAGCAATAAGCTATTCTGGAGGTACGATTGGGAATACCTCTTGTTCAGGAACCTCATCTGTCTCAAACTGTCTAGACAGTGCATCTGCCTTAGTGTTCTTGGTCCCGAGCCTGTATGCAATGACAAAATTGAAACGGGAGAGGAACAGTGACCATCTAGCCTGTCGGGACGACAATCTCTTAGCGTCCCTGATATAAGCCAAGTTCTTGTGATCGGTAAAAATCAAAAGTGGCTCTTTGGAACCTTCTAAGCGATGTCTCCATTCTTTAAGGGCAAGGACAATGGCCAGTAATTCTCTATTCCCGATGTCATAGTTTTTCTCTGCAGGAGTTAGTTTTCGAGAGAAAAACCCACAGGGATGTAAAGGCTTGTCAGGACTTTCTCATTGAGACAGAATGGCTCCTACTCCTGTCTCTGACGCATCTACTTCTAAAATAAAAGGCTTGGCTGGATCGGGGTGCATCAGAACAGGTGCCAAAGCAAATAAAGATTTTCATTTCTCGAATGCTTCATTTGCTTCCTTGGGCCATGAATTGCAATTTGCTCCTTTTTTGGTAAGGTTGGTAATAGGAGCGATTACCGATGAGAAACCCTTAATGAATTTGCGGTAATAATTAGCAAATCCTACAAAATGCTGTGTAGCTTTAAGACCTTTAGGTAACGGCCATTGTAAAACTGCCTCCAGTTTGCGTGGGTCCATTTTAAAACCAGAAGGGGATATAATGTATCCAAGGAATTGTATTTTAGTCTGGTCAAACTGGCATTTTTCAAGCTTACAGTATAAGCTGTTTTCTAACAGGGTCTTTAACACAGTTTTCACATGTTCGTAATGTGTTTCTAGGTCAGGAGAATAGATAAGGATGTCATCTAGATACACTAGAAAGAACATGTGGAGGCAGTCTCTAAGGACATCATTTATAAAATCCTGAAACACCGCTGGAGCGTTGCACAAACCAAACGGCATAACCAGGTATTCGTAATGTCCCATTCTAGTATTAAATGCCGTCATCCACTCATGTCCCTCCTTAATTCTGACTAGGTTATATGCACTCCTTAGATCGAGTTTTGGGAATACTCGGGCACCCTTCAACCTATCAAATAGCTCAGAAATAAGGGGAATTGGGTAGGCGTTTTTAAAAGTTATTTTATTCAGACCCCTATAATCAATGCAAGGGTCTCCTTCTTTTTTGGAAACAAAGAAGAACCTAGCTCCAGCAGGTGAGGAGAATCTTCGTATGTGACCTTTCCTTAGCTTATCCTTAATATATTCCTCTAAACAAAGAGTTTCTTGAGGAGATAGTGCATAAACTCCTCCTTAAGGGGGCATAGTACCTGGTAACAAATTTATGGCACAGTCATAGGGTCTATGTGGTGGTAAAACCTCAGACTGAACCTTGTTGAAGACTTCTTTTAAGGCTAAAGACTGCGGAGGGATTTTCGTGGTTAAGGGAGTTGCCGTAGGTACATTGAGGGTACCCACACGTTGTGGCATCTGTTGTAAACAATGACCTGTGCAACTTTCTCCCCAACTCACAATTTCTCCTTTAACCCAATATAAACATGGATTGTGTTTCTGGAACCATGGAAAACCGAGTATTATAGGGCATGTAGGGGAAGATATAACCTGGAAAACCATTTCCTCGCAATGTAAGATGCCTACTCAGACAGTGATTGGCAGAGTCTCCTGCGTAGTGATTGGCAGAGTCTCCTGGGTAAGAGGTCTTCCATCAATAACTTCCACTGCTATGGGTCTATCTTTCTGCCTTAATGGCAGGAGATGTTTAGCAGAGAATTCTTTGTCAATGAAATTCTCCGCTGCCTCTCACTGAACAATAGTTCTCTTACAATGCAGAGTAATATTTACAAGGAAACGGTTCTTAGTCAATTTGGTGGACATATACATCACACCTAAGGTGGGTCCCCGAACCTGCCTTAGGTGCGCAAGCATGAGAGCCGGACATGAGAGCCTTTGATGTCCCCGTTTTCCACAATACAGACACAACCCCATGTTACGTCTGTGTTGTCTCTCTGCGTCAGTGAGTTTAGCAATGCCCAATTGTATGGGCTCAACCTCTGGAGGTGGAGCAGGGTTAACTATCACTGGGTTAGAGAAACGGGGGGCTATAGATAAATTGGTACGTCTAGTACACTTTTTTTCTCTCTTTCTCTGATTCAAAGGTAGCTCTAAATGCTGTTAAAAATTCATTGTAAACACGGGCTATGGAATTCCCACTCTCCCATAAGGGATTAGCCCACGTTAAGGCCTTCCCTGTTAATTGGCTCATTAGATAGCCAATTTTTGATCTATCTGTAGGGAAGGAACCGGGAGAAGCTTCGAAATGATATTCAATCTGGTTTAGAAAACCTCTGAAATCCTTAGAATCACCTCCAAAATGAGGATGAGGTGAAAGGTTATGGATGGAGGTTTATATGCCACAGGTGCAGGTACAGGTGGCAGAGCTACCGGAGGTGCTTCCAGATAAGCAGTTCTCTGGAGCAAGGTCTGAAACACTTGGGCAAACTGATCTAACCTGTGGTCCATATCCTCCACCCTGCTAAACAGGCTATCATATGTTTACATAGTTCCGCAGGATCCATGGCCCTGTCGTAATGTCACGGCTGCTAGTGTGGTCCAACACGCAGTACTATATATTTTCTATACATAGAAAATAGCAAGGAAATAAAAAGGCCAGAACGTAAACCGGACCTTAGAATGGTCAGACTAATACGTTAGAGACAGAGAATGGTCAAGGGATAGCAGAGGTCAAGGAAGCCAGAAATACACAAATACCAAGCCAAGTCAGGGGAACCAGAAATCAGAGGAATCAGGAATAGCCAAGGTCAAGATACCGGAAATCCTAAATGGAACAAGGATAAACGCACTCTCGGGAATCAGGACAGGAAACTACGACAGGGCAAGGTACTGGAGTGAATCAGGGATTTAAATATCCCTCTCTGGGCTATGATTGGTCAGAGGATGACCTCTGACCCCAGAACGTGCGCGCGTGTTGACGTCGTGACATCACACACACGCTAGTATTAATTTTGGGGGCGGAGCCAATGATGGACGCGACCACACGTCAGCGCCGTCTTTGTTTCGGTGGAAGGACGCGGAGGAGCGGTTCCTGGTTCGCCGCCGAACAGGTAAGCTCAGCTTGTCAGGCGGCGAGCCGGAAGCCGTGACAAACCCCTACACACACTACGTCACCTATATACACATACACACACACTACAGCCCATATGCACACACTCGCAACATCTCCTATACACACTATGCCCCCTATACACACACTCTCTACAGCCCCTAGTCACACATATTACACCACAAACACAAATGAAATCGACCTGTTTACACAATATCACACCACAATCAGCTCACTCTACAGAAACGCAATCCCACAAGCAGGCTCCAAACACATGCACCATAAACGTTCCTGGCCCATTTGTCCTCTGGTATCCCACTTATGGAGACACCAGAGACAAGTTAAAAGCAAACACAGCACAAGCATGTTATTACATTTGCTTGCACTGCGCAGAACAAATACAGGGCCTTTTTCTCATGCTGGAGCTCTTCACCAGGACTCTGCGCATTGAACCAACAAGCTCACTTTGAGAGGGGGCGTGCTTGTCATTAGTGGTGACAGAACACACCCACTCTGGCCCTTCCCCCTTCACAGGGGCCGCTGTGATTGAAAAAAAATTTGATCTGGCATTTTTCAAAGTCCAGCCCTGTACACTAGGTTTCCAGTTTACTTAGGTGATTGTGATAAAAATCGGGGAAGGGGCCTACCATTTCTAGGAGTGTGTCCAGTGAATAGCTATTGTGCCGGGATCCGGAATATGACGTCAGACCAGCTCCCGGCATCACTAAGCGCCGCCAACTCAGCTTGTGCGCCCCCTGCCTGCCCGACCAGCAGCACCACTGGACAGGTAAGCAATCCACTCCCAGGGAGGCTGGGTAGATTTAAAATAAAAATAATAATTTGTAAGTGTTAGGAGAAATGTGTATGTGTCTGTAAGTGTATGTGTGTGTGTCTGTAAGTGAATGTGTGTGTGTCTGTCAATGAGTGTATGCATCTTTCAGTGAGTGTGCGTCTGTCAAAGTGCGGCCTTGACAGGAAGGGGTGGGGAAAATTTTAATTGGGGGGCGGGAGGGGTGCCCGAGCACCGTCCTGCCTAGGGCAGCCCAAATCCTAAATACACCACTGCACACAGTGTCTTGGGCTGGCCCTGTCCAGGGCACTAGATACAATGCCAATTTGTTCCCTCCTACTAGTGCTTTGGGTACTGCTCTGTGAGTGGGGTAGATGAGTGTTGTATGTGTGGGTGGATGAGTGTTGTATGTAAGAATGTGCAGTGGCCAACGGTTGTTTATATGGTGACTGAATTTTGTGTGGGGATAGGAGCCTGAGTGGTATCTGAGTTTTTAGTGTGTGGGAAGGAGGTTGGGGGAGGGGGGGGGGAGCACGTGACCCCACACATCTTTTCCTATTATTTTCCATAGGTTCCCTTCCTCATCTGCCAATGTAGCAGGGGTGCAGCACCGTGGGATGGACACATCAGGTGGCACTCACAATTGGGGCAATTTAATGGGCATTTCTGGTCAGAAGGCCAGGTGAGGCCTGATGCCCTTTAACAGTGCCATTGTGCCTGTGTCAAATCACCGGGGATGGGAGGAAGAACATTCAGGTCACTTCCTCCCAGCTTACAGCAAAAGTTTCCCAGGTTAGGCAGATAAAATAGGGGAAGTAAGAAGAGCATGACAGAGAGCCTCAGCTAGCAGTCCCACTGGACCCCAGGGAAGTCATCCACATGCACCCATATGGTATGGAAACAGGAGGTTGCTAAAAATACTGAAATCATAGCTTCTGTTTGTGGTGTATGCGTGTCAGTATGTGTATGCATCTGTGTTTATGTGGAACAGTGTGTTGATTTGTGTATGTGAACAGTATGTGTATATGTACATATATATAAACATGCAAACACCAACACAAAACACAAACACACAACATTTTAAACACGAACACTACATACAAATATATTACGGTAGTCAAACAGCAACAACTATTTATATACATATATAAATAGATGTTGAATAGTCTTTTTTTTTTCACTGTACTTGTGCAAAATAGACATACATAGACGATAGTATGTCATTCTGCATAATTTCAGTTTCATTTTGTGCCATTATTTCCTTTGTTTTTGTACAACTTCAACAAGACACAAGCCTTCTGGTACATTTATGTCAACCCAAGAAAAAAATATATTTGGGTCTTCTCACTAAGTAGCCAAATTGCTACAGCACATTCAATCCTGTTATTAATTTCAATTCTCCAAAGGCTGATAACATTTCTTTGAGGTTTTTTTTTTTAAAGGAACACTATAGTCACCTAAATTACTTTAGCTAAATAAAGCAGTTTTAGTGTATAGACCATTCCCCTGCTATTTCACTGCTCAATTCACTGTCATTTAGGAGTTAAATCACTTTGTTTCTGTTTATGCAGCCCTAACCACACCTCCCCTGGCTATTATTGACAGAGCCTGCATTGAAAAAAAACTGGTTTCACTTTCAAACAGATGTAATTTACCTTAAATAATTGTATCTCAATCTCTAAATTGAACTTTAATCACACACAGGAGGCTCTTGCGGGGTTTAGCAAGCTATTAACATAGCAGGGGATAAGACAATCTTAATTAAACAGAACTTGCAATAAAGAAAGCCTAAATAGGGCTCTCTTTACAGGAAGTGGTTATGGAAGGCTGTGTAAGTCACATGCAGGGAGGTGTGACTAGGGTTCATAAACAAAGGGATTTAACTCCTAAATGGCAGAGGATTGAGCAGTGAGGCTGCAGGGGCATGTTCTATAGAGCCAAACTGCTTCATTAAGCTAAAGTTGTTCAGGTGACTATAGTGTCCCTTTAAAATGAGATTGAACAGAATGCTATAGTATCAGTAAGACTTAATCAAATAATAACTTCAGCCTAATTATAGCCAAATGACAAAAAGAGTAGGGTTATTGGTGCAGGGTGACAAGCAGTTGAGAGCAGCATTATGATGACATACAGAAATTGTAACAAATGAAAATACAAATAGCAAAATTGAGGATAAAATAACTACTCTGTAGGGCGGGGCCTGACCGCCGGCGAGATCAGACGTGCTCTGTCTGGGCTCCCGCTCCAGGGCCCGAAAATCGGCGCAAATTGGAGGTCAACCGCGATTATTCCCCCATACCGGTGACCCTACTGATCCCCAGTCACTGGGGCAAGCAGGGACACCGCACACAACCCGGTCCTGCACCTACAGTAACCCAACAGGGGCCCTGAGTTCGTTGGAGCTTGAGCCGGGACGAGACGGCCGCTCTCTCAGGCCTCTGGACCGGGGGGGTCATCCCGGTCTGCAGGGGACCAGCAGAACACCAAATCTGGACATAAACAATCGCCCGAGCGAGGAACATCCATATGCACCATTCCACAAGATGGCCGCCGCACACCAGCCATGTGCGCGGACAGCCAGTGCAGGAGAGCAGATCGAAGGGGAGCTAACCCAACACCACCAGACCACTATGACAACCTGCCCCAGGTCCGTGTTGGCGGATTACACAGGGCAAACTAAGGTACAGGTTGCGGGCATCAACTAAGGTGAAATGGGGGGCACACAGAGAGGGACCCCACTGAACAGCCCCTATAAAGCAGACCTACAGGGGCCAACAGACCCTACAACGTCCAGTCCTGACAAGACAGGTCACAGGGACCGAAACCCCAAACCACCCACCTTGCACCCGGCTAGAATCAGCCCACCCCACCAGCTTGGGCCTGCGACCCCACAACTACCGCCACACGCCAATGAAACAGTGCAGAGCAACACCACCGCACCACCAGGGCACAAGAGGCACCTACCAAACAAGAACAGGGCTGGAGAGGGCCAAACTCTAAGGGCCCCGATAACCACAACCCCTCCAGATGACGATCCACCGTGAAGCTCCCAGAAGAGGCAGACTCTCACACTCTACCAAGCTGGAGTACCCCACACGCAACATACCCAAGGCAGGGCGTCCAACAACCTCCCCACAGATTGGGAATCGGATACGCTGGTAAAAAGACACGGTCTTCCTGCTGACCGGCCGCGGTGAAGACGCCGGCACAGATGAACCTCAAATCCTACTCAACCTAGCCGACTCTTGTCACTAAGCTTCCATCCATGGACATTGACTTATGCTCGTAACTATTTGCCCTAGCACCAACTCCAACTATGCTTAGCCACACACACTTTCTACAGATAACGCAGCATGATTTACACAAAGCACCAAGCGAGAAACACACTCTAGAAAATCACACTAGCAAACCACAGAGCTTAGACACCCACTTTAAATAGAGAAAGTGTTACCATGCTTAACCCTACTGTAAAGATGCACAGATTGTTAAACTCAAAGTTCACCTATACCCTGCTAATACACTTAAACTTGAACACTTATGCTTGTTCACCTACTCTAATTTAACTTAAACCATATTGCTCATAGCTTGTTTACTTTATCGTTACCTTAATCATATAAAAATATATGCATACCCAACACGCCACAATATTGTTATAATCTGACTATGAAAATCGAGCCTGCTGATGCTGTTGTGGCGATACAGGTACTGTTGTACCTACCTGCATACCAAAAATAAAGAATTAAAATAAATAAATAACTACTCTGTGATTGCAAATGAGTTAGAGATTTTTTTTCCAGGTTAGCTATTTTTGTCTATATTTTGTCATTTGAATTTAAAGTCACTGCTATTTAGAATTTAGTGAATTAACCTCACATAGTTAGTGGGCTTAATATGATCTGTGCAATTCCTTTTGTCTGTTGCAATGAGTATTTGGGTATCCTTCACAATTCACCAATGAAAATGTCACTGCCCAAAGTCTGCCCATTTTACTTTAAAGGACCACTATAGGCACCCAGACCACTTCAGCTTAATGAGGTGGTCTGGGTGCCTGGTCCATCTAAGGTTAACCCTTTTTTCTATAAACATAGCAGTTTCAGAGAAACTGCTATGTTTATGTTAGGGTTAACCCAGCCTCAAGTGGCTGTCACACTGACAGCCGCTAGAGGGCTTCCCCGTTTCTCACTGTGAAACGGTGAAACTGTCCATAGGAAAGCATTATGAATGCTTTCCTATGGACTGGCTGAACGCGCGCGCGGCTCCTGCCGGGCATGCGCATTCAGCTGAAGAGGAGGAGGAGAGGAGGAGGAGAGCTCCCCGCCCGGCGCTGGAAAAAGAGGTAAATTTATATAGTGCACCCTCAGGGCACTATAGTGCCAGGAAAATGAGTGTTTTCCTGGCACTATAGTGGTCCTTTAAGAAGCTGTGATAAAGGATTGCTGGGGTTTATTCACAGGGTATAATGGTGATATTGCACGTTGAAGCAAACTTATACAAATCCCAGCTCATTTTATTTTTTTCTGCTTGGCTATTTCAGTCAAAGGCAATTCCCAAGTCAATTCTCCATAATTTCTTGGGTAATTAATTAATTCCTCAATCAAGCCTCTAGACTTCCCAGGTATGATGATATTTTTATCTGTTTTTGCAGGACTGGTAATTGTTCTGGACTGCATCTGAAGTGGCTAGTGAAGACTGGAATACAGCACATGATCTACAGAACTGTCAGTAAATCAATATTAAATCGAAATGTGTTATTGTAAATAAAAAAAAAAAAAAAACTAGATTGAATAAAGCAAATCAAATAAAGAAAATAACTCCGTTATTACTGTAAAGTGACGATTGGGTGGTTTAGTTTACATTTACAGCTTTGGACTTTTATCAGGATAACTAAAAGTGTTGTTTTAATTGCAACCAGCCTGCCTGAAAAATGTTGGCACTATAATAACTCTGGATTGCAGATGTTTTTAAGTTAATGAAGGGGTTTAATCATTCATTCTAAATTTATAATAAAGGCTATCCTTAAAAAAGGAAGACACAATGTGGTGTGATTTTTTTTGCTGTTAAAGGAGCAGTATAGGTTCAGGAATACAAACATGTATTCCTGATCCTATAGTGTTATAAAACGACATTTGCCCCCGACTTCCCCTGCCCGAATCTCCGTCTCCTTGGCTGGCATTAAGAAAATTGATGATCTCAGCCAATCCAATGCTTTGTCATATGAAATCTCAGCCAAGGAGGCTGGGGGGGTAGGAGGGGGCAAAACGGCCATGAGCCGCTCTGGTCAATCAGCATCTATTGCACTGAAGCAATGCACCTCTATGGGAAAATTCAGCATCTCCATGCAGAGTGTGGAGATGCTGAACATCACTGCACATGGTGCAGCACTGACTCAGGAAGCACCTCTAGTGGCCGTCTGAGTGTCTGCCACTGGAGGTGTCCCTAGGCAGTTTACATGGAAATGCCTGCAGGGACTCACTAGAACACATACATCAAGCTGTTCTCATGACTATAGTGTCCCTTTAATATTAAGTACACATACGTATTACCATTGACTTGAAAGAATGAATATAAAACTAGCAAAAATGAATACTATAAAACCTTTATACTCTGATAGTAAAAAACAAAGAAAAGTTACCCGCGCTCTCTCCTAAATCCTTATGTATATTTAAACAAATGGAGGTTATTTAGTTACTCAATAGTTAGTCAATAGCCATTGGAGGGAATGCCTCCTGTCACATCAAGGCAAACCTCTCATTTGGGTCCTACACTGACCTTTCACCTTGCTTCCTTGAGCTTCTTGTAAAGCTATCTCTAATGAGACATAGAGAGGTATTTTTTATATACACCTACATACTTATTAACCCTTAATAGGGAATGGCCAGGTAACTTTTTTTTTTTCCGTTTTTTACTGTATGTATTGGGGCTGATGTGTACTATGGTCGTTGCTGCCACCCAGGAGTGATGGGAGTGTGAGTGCAGGTCTTGTTTTTTTGTATTTGTATGATACTCTGATACTCTTAACTGCTTGTTTCAGAGGAAACATTCTATTTGGGAATAACAGGCAAACTGTAAATCATTCTATGGGCGTCAGGCAACGTGTCCACCAGCTACTAATGCCAAAACATAGCAAAGGCAAGCAGCTGTTCTATAGACAGTTTTCTAAATCAGTTAAATTCATGAAACACTTCCCCTTATTTACTTTTACAGCTTGGGATAGTTTTTCCTCACTGGCTAATAAGAAAGCAGATATCTGTGCTGATTGTGGCATAAACCGTTGAACTAGTCTGCTCTGCAGTCTCAAGCTCTTTGTTTTTAAAAATACGGAGATATTCCCATAGCAGGTAGAAAAATGGAAAACTGTAGCACCTTTATTTAAAATATAGAGAACCTTCTACTACCATAGAGACATAGGATCTACCTTTTTGGTAGCCAGGTTAACATGATCTGCCACCGTATCAGCACTGCGTTAACAAACCTTATCCAAGCATACTTACATATAAATCAGCTCCCTATTTATGGTGGGCCAGCAGCTGTGTCATTTATACTATGTATGGTAGTCTCTTAGTGTAAATGATACAGTCTCTACCAGTGTTCTGTCACCTGTGTAAACTGCATATTATTATTAGCATTTATATAGGGCAAACAGACCGTGCACAGAGCACAGCTAGTGCTCTCTCAATGATCCTAGCCCCCTGACCTGCATCCTGCAGATTTGAACTGGGCAGATATAAGAATGCATGACAGGTCACTGAGAATCATTTGCGGGTACAAGACCCCCATATGTGGAACTATCTTGTCAAAATCTGTACTGTTGGCACCTATAGACCATCATCTCTAGATATTCCTGCCTGTGTGTATGCTAGAATGTGGATACAATATTCTGTATGTATGGGAGAATGTTACTATCATACTTCTTAGTGTGCCTATTTAGAAGGGACAATCCCAGTCTTGGGTTCAAAAACTTACAAGGAAAAGTTAAAGGATCTTAACATGCATAACTTGGAGGAAAGACAAGCCAGGGGGGATATGATATATTTAAATACATAAAGGAAATCAACACAGTAAAGGAGGAGACTATATTTAAAAGAAGAAAAACTACCACAACAAATTAGAGGGGCAAAGGTTTAAAAAAAATATCAGAAAGTATTACTTTACTGAGAGGGTAGTGGATGCATGGAATAGCCTTCCAGCTGAAGTGGTAGAGGTTAACACAGTAAAGGAGTTTAAGCATGCGTGGGATAGTCATAAGGCTATCATAACTATAAGATAAAGGCAGGGACTAATGAAAGTATTTAGAAAATTGGGCAGACTAAATGGGCCAAATGGTTCTTATCTGCCATCACATTCTATGTTTCTATCTGTCCGTTATTTCTAGGAGCTCTATAGTGTTAGAATGTTTGAGTGTATAACAGCTCATCAGCAATAATACTCCCAGTAATATTGTCTTTCATCAACAATAAATGTGGTTAGAAATTAGCCTGAGTAAATAAGATACATTACTTGTTCTTAATTACATTTTAGTTACATAAATTGTTTTCAGGTAAGTCCACAAAAATTACCCAGAACCACCCCGACCCTGGCCACACCCCACACTCACACCCATAAAATTAAAATGTCTGTATTTATAGAAAAGGGTCATCATATCTACACTCTCTCATATATAACAAGGCGGGCATATTCATATGCATACATACTTACATAAATGCATATAAACAGACATTTGGTTATTTGTGCATTGGGGGTTTATGTGCATGTGTTTATATCAGTGTGACTGGGTGTGTTATTTCTTTGCAATATCAGTGTGGGTTTACGTGTGTACAGTGTCGAATTGGCCATGAGAATGAATTTGTGTGTGCAATATGTTTGTACATGTGTTCGTTGTGTGTGCAATGTGTGGGCAATGTAAGTGTGAGCATGGCGACTGTGCACATAATGACAGAACATTATCACTATGTGATCATTATCCATCATATATTACGCTACCAAAAATATATATATATATATATTATATAACGCAAATATTGAAGCTCAATATTATAACATACCTGATGGTTATTATGAAATGTTCGAGGACAGAAACCACAGAAAATAAGCATCTCAGCATCACAAATGTTTCTTTAGCAACAAAGTTGCTTTATATAAGAGAGGGGAAAGGAAATTAGATTATGCCCACATGACTGTTTGCATTAGCTATTGAAAAACAGAGTAAAGAAAATTACTAAATTTGATTTCTATTTGCTGCAAGCAGTTTTAAGAATGGCTCATCCTGTAGATAAAGCAGCTCATCTCTTTTTATCCCAGATAGACAACAAGAAGTATCAAGAAAAGAAGGCCAAAAGGAAGTGCTTTAGGCAATCTGTGTAGGTGTATGTGTAAACACGTAACCTAATCTCATTAGCTTTTGTTCAAGGACAGAACATTTTGGCAGAAAGAAAATTATAAACAAAATGATAAAAAGTCACTGAGTGACTGTTAAATGAATGTATCTAAAATGACAGTTTAAAGGGACACTATAGTCACCTGGAAAACTTTAGCTCAATGAAGCAGTTTTGGTGTATAGAACATGCCCATGCAGCCTCACTGCTCAATCCTCTGCCATTTAGGAGTTAAATCCCTTTGTTTATGAACCCTAGTCTCACCTCCCTGCATGTGACTTGCACAGCTTTCCATAAACACTTCCTGTAAAGGGAGCCCTATTTAGGCTTTCTATACTGCAAGTTCCGTTTAATTTTCTTATCCCCTGCTATGTTAATAGCTTGCTAGACCCTGCAAGAGCCTCCTGTACGTGATTAAAGTTCAATTTAGAGATTGAGATACAATTAGATAAGGTAAATTACATCTGTCTGAAAGTGAAACCAGTTTGTTTTTTTTCATGCAGGCTCTGTCAATTATAGCCAGGGGAGGTGTGGCTAGGGCTGAATAAAAAGAAACAAAGTGATTTAACTCCTAAATGACAATGAATTGAGCAGTGAAATAGCAGGGGGAATAATTTATACACTAAAACTGCTTTATTTAGCTAAAGTAATTTAGGTGACTACAGTGTTCCTTTAAATATAACCATTCACCTACTGGATGCTACTGCTGGCTATAAAAAAAGCCTATGGGGATCAATTTGATGGCATATAAGTACAAGGGAGAGTTTACACTTACAATGCTGCCAATTATTTTACCGCCAGTGGCCGCATGTCTACCAAAAGGGGAGCTGTCAATGGCTTTGTGCTGTAATAACAAACTAGCAAGTGGGTAGCTATTGATTATTAACTATTAACATACAGGAAGACCTGGCATAGGTCCCCGTTGTGTCCCCCACCCTTGTGCAATGGTTGGGGGCTATAAAATAAAGAATGGGACATGCGTAGATTACTGTTCACTAAGTAGGGCTATTATTAAAATAATAAAGTGGGGAGGATATAGTGTCCCCTCTTTGCTGCCATCATGGCATCAATAGGCCATGGATGTTTACTCTGTATGCCACACGTGGCATTATTTTGGCATCAAGTATGATGTGGAAAGCTCTTCAAGTGACACCTTTTATACTGCAAAGTGCTTACATCAATCTTTGATACCAAGAGTATATGTAGTTCTAGGGTTTCTCACATTAACATAGTCCCTGTAGATCCGACTGTGCATTCATTGTATTTCTGGTTTGTTTGGCTTCTGACTCTGGCCGGTCTACAGACCTCAATCTGTTTATCAGTTTTCAAGTACTCTCAGTCTACTTGCAGACACCCTATTCTAAGCACCAGCCAGGCCACTCTATGGACTGGCATGCACTTCTGTCCTGTGTCTACTTATGTTAGCATGTGAGGGTTAGGCTGGCCTTGAAAGAAAAAAAAAAGATATTGCATAGTTGCCAACTGTCCCATCTTTGCCGGGACAGTCCCGGCAAGCTGGAGTCTGTCCCAAGCAATTTACTCTCCCGAAACAGTCCCGGCAACTCGCAGGGCCATGTCCTTTTATTATTTTCCCTCGAACTGTAATGGCCTGTTACAGTCTGAGGGAATTCAGGACAGAGATGCTGGGGGCTGTAGATAGATGTTGGGGGCTGCTGGGGGCTGCTGGGGCCAGAGGGAGCACTGACAGTCTCCCTCTGTCAGAAGTTCCACCCATGCTCCGTCTCCCGCCATTTAGCTCCACCCCAACGTTAAGCAGGAGACCTTGCTGCAGAAAATGACCTGACCTCCCAGCAACAGCCTCCAGCGGCTTGATATACTCAGCCTGGTGTATGTGTGTGTGTGTATGTGACTGCTAGTGAGAAAGCTTGTGTGTGTCAGTGAGCTTGTGTGTGTGTGAGCCTGACCTCCCAGCAACAGCCTCCAGTGGCTTGATATACTCAGCCTGGTCTGTGTGTGTGTGTGTGTGTGTGTGTGTATGTGCCTGCTAGTAAGAAAGCTTGTGTGTGTCAGTGAGCTTGTGTGTGTGTAAGCTTGTCTGTAGTGAACTTGTGTGTGTCAGCAAGCTTGTCTGTAGTGAGCTTGTGACAAGTCACCACCCCCAGGGCACAGCAACCCTCACACACACACAAAGCACCCCTGACACAAAGCACCCCAGCGCACACACATCACCTTCACATGCACACACATAGCACCCCTCACACACACACACACAGCACCCATCACACGCTGCACCCCTCACGCGCACACACTGCACCCCTCACGAAAAAAACACAGTGCACCCCTCACACAAACAGTACCTCTTTCACATACACACTGCACCCCTCACACACCCAACACCTCTCTCAGACATATACACAGCACCCCTGACACACACAACACCCTCACACAGAGCACCTCTGACACACATATTACACAGTGTGTGTCTGTATATAAAGTAGCGTGTATTTAGACGTCGGTGTGTCCGTGTATTCAGCAGTCGGTGTGTGTGTATTCAGCAGTGTGTGTATTACACAGTGTGTGTGTCTGTATATTAAGTAGCTTGTGTTTATTCAGCAGTCTATGTGTGTGTTCAGCAGTGTGTGTATTCAGCAGTCTGCGTGTCAGTGTATTCAGCAGTCGGTGTGTGCGTTTATTCAGCCATCAGTGTGCGTGTAGTCATCCACCGGTGTGCGTGTAGTCATCCGCCGGTGTGCGTGTAGTCATCCGCCGGTGTGCGTGTAGTCAGCAGTGTGTACGTTTATTCAGCAGTGTGTGTGCTTGTATTCAACAGTGTGTGTGCGTGTATATATAAAGTAGCCTGTGTGTATTCAGCAGTCTGTTCTTCTGTATTTAGCAGACAGTGTGCATTCAGCAGTCTGTGTATGTATCCAGCAGTCTGTGTGTGTGTGTTCAGCAGTCTCTATATGTGTGCATATTCAGCAGTCTCTATGTGTGTTTGTGTGTGTCTATTTAGTGTACTGTGTGTATACACTCTGTATGTGTGTGTGTATGTATTCAGCAGTCTGTCTGTGTGTACTCAGCAGTCTGTCTGTGTGTACTCAGAACTCTGTGTGTGCGTGTACGTAGCAGTCGATGTGTTACTGTTACAGTTATTACTTTAATACCCCCAATCTTCCGCATATGGGAATTAGTTTGGGGGGATTTCTTCCCCAAGGTTTCCCCAAGTTTTAAAACTTGGATCCTCCACACACCACTGTGTGGGTGTGGTGGAAAATTATAGGTTCCCCCTTGTTTATTTTAATTAGAGCATCCACTCGCTGGCCATAGGGGGAGCATGGGGAGACATCAACGTATTAGCCCTTGTGTATTGTATGCAGTGTGCGTATATAGTATATGCAGTGTGTGCAGGAACGGATTAACATAGTGGCTGTTGGAGATGCAGCTCCAGGCCCAGGCCCAGGCCCAGGCCCATGGAATAGGCCCATTTAAAAAAAAAAAATTTTTTTTACACAATACTCTTAAGTTTTCCACCTGACTGCTATTTTACCGGTACTTAAGGCTACATGGCCGTGCCGGTATTGCAATATTACCGGCAATACAAATGCGGATATTTTTCCCAGTATAAACAGAGATTACTCTGCAATACCAGCTCCAGCCAGAAGTGGTCACTGTGTGTGGAGAGAGGCAGGGATAGGAAGTTACAGCAGGGTTAACATTAGATGGACCTGGCACCCAGACCACTTCATTGAGCTGAAGTGGTCTGGGTGCCTATAGTGGTCCTTTAAGGCCAGAGTAGCCACACTGAAAGCATATGTGATTTAGAGAATTTATCAGTTTAGCTATTTTGACCATAAATTTGACATTTACTTTGAATTCTCACTTTAGTGAAACACCCACCATCAGGGGGATCGGGGCCGCCATCAGGGGAATACCGGTAGTACACATGTAAGGGGCCTCGGTCCCATAGGGCAAAAAAGACATATTTACTTGATCCATCCACGGGGAGGGAGATCAAAAATCTGCCTTCTTGCCATGTTGCACGATCTTATTGCTGCAGAGGGAGACCTAGCGGCAGTATGTGTCTTTTTCCGCCAACTTTTCTCCCAAACACGAGCCACGTGTGTCAGAGAGTTGCTGGGGTTATCATGGCAATGCTCCAATGCTGCACTCTACCAGATATAAAGGTTAGCAAGTTTATTCACTAAAGTGTGAATTATCAGGAATTTATAGAGAGCTCATTTTTTTAGGCCAAAATAACCAAATTGGAAAGATTCTCCAAATCACCTGTGTTTTTAGCACAGCTAATGTAAACATCTAAATTGAAAGCAGCACTGCCACCATCTGGGGATTTTGCAGAATTAGCAAAGATCCGCAATGGTGACATTGCTGATGGGGGTCTGGTGGCCGGGAAGCAGGGAAATGTGAGTTCTACTTACCTGACGCTGTCCCTCGTGGGTGCCACTTTCTTCTTCAAGCGGGTCTTCTTTAGCGCCTGGCGCTGAAGCCGACATCACTGCTGTAATGTTGTGCACGTGCAAGTGTACAGCATTGAGGTCTATGGAGGATCCCGCTAAATCCTCCATCACGGGCCACTGATGAGAGCTAGGGGGATGGACAGATCTGCCCAGTGTGTAGAAGTGTAGGAAAATTACATAAAACAGTAAAAAAGTAATCCCTACTTTGTCACTTGTTTTTAGTTAGAAATAGATGGGGAGAGGGCGTGGCTACGACACGGACGGAGCTGGACGTGTGAAGGACTAGCTCCGTCGGACTGGGTACCTTAACAGCGTGTATCCACAGCATTGGACCGGGAAAAACGGCTGCCTCAGCTGCCAACTACCGGTGAATTACGATGACGAGCAAATCAGCCAGAAAGCAGCGGCAAAAAGCCGCGGATCTGCAGATCTCGGCCCTCTCACCGTCGAGCAGACTGATCCAAGATGGCGCCGACGGGGTGCATTCACCAGCAACAGAATCAGAGGCAAGTGATGTAACCTCAGTATCTCGCCTCCAACACTTCCCCCACGCTGATGGAGACATTAGAACCCTGCTGTATGACCTCAAACACACTATGAGAGCTGATTTTCAAAAGTTAGCGGCTGACATTAAGAGAGATGTACAGGCAATTGGGGACCGCACGGCCCATCTAGAAGACAAGATGGAGGAGGTCATAGAGGCACATAACACCCTGGCTGAGACCTATACCACGTTCAAATCTCAAATACAACAACTGGAGACAAAAGTGGTAGACCTAGAAGATAGAGCCCGTAGAAACAACATCCGCCTACGCGGCATCTCTGAGGAGGTTACACAACCGGACTTAAGAGGTTATGTCACCCAACTTTTTCAGGCACTGCTACCTGAGGCGTCGGAGCAGGAGCTACAGATAGATAGAGTACACAGGCTGCTGAAACCCAGAGGCCTGCCAGCGGCAGTACCTAGAGATACCATTGTCAGGGTGCACTTTTATACAGTAAAAGAGAGGCTGATGATGGCGGCGCGGGATGCGCGGAATCTGGGAAAACGCTTCAAGGAGATACAGCTATACACCGACCTATCACCAGCGACTATGGCTAAAAGAAGAGCTTTTGGCCCCATCACCAAAGCTCTGAGAGAGGCGTCCATACCGTACAAATGGGGCTTTCCGACGCGCCTAATCGCACGAAGAAATGGAGTGGAGAAGGTGTTTCTTAACCCGGAAGACGGGAGGAACGGGCTAGCACAGTGGAGCATCTCATTGCCGCAGCCAGAGTCGGCGGAAAAGAACACCCCTGCACGCCCAACCAAACTGGCTGGAGACTGGCACAGAATTGACGCAGCTAAGTGAACAGCATGCCATAAACTTTTTTTCTTACTGTCACTATTTCCTTCTTTCTCCTTGGACTGAGAGGGAAGGTGATTTAGATACTGGTTGTTATAAATATAACAGGTGAAGGAGTTAGCGCCCAAATAATAACAAAAAAAATAAAAAAAAAAAAAAAAAAAAAAAAAAAAAAAAAAAAAAAAAAATAAATATATATATATATATATATATGATTACAAATTGGGCAGTTTCAGCATATTCCCAGACGTTAATAGTATACATGTACTCATGCAAACAGATCTGTGGGCCGTACTACGAAGGGTGCAACACCGTGATACATAATGCCTGTCCTTTCCCTAATTTGACTTATGAAATTGGCATCTTTGTCTCGGTCTAAGGTTAACCCTGAGGATAAGGACAGTCCCCTGTGACATAGTATATTTGATAGATGGTACTATCCACCGTTCCACCCCCCAGTGGCCCGAGCCAGGCCACTACGACGTATGCAGTATACGTCACCAATACTAATTGCCTACCGTGTGCTCGGCACACGGTTCTCAGGCAACTGTATATAAGTTTCTTCTATTCTTTTGATCTTAAGTTCATATACTTTCATGTTTTTTTCTTTGTCTTGTTCGAGGGATTCATAATGCGGATATATAGGGAGACCTGTACCCAGAGCCCCGGGGAGGGGGTAACCGACAGGAGGACTGAATTAATGGAGACTAGAATACAATCTAACAATCCTGGACAGCATAGTAGGTTGTATGTAAAATGGTGTTGACATTTATATCTTTGAACACTAAAGGGCTCAACTCCCCGAATAAACGGAGACTGGCACTATTGGAAGCGAAAAGGGCTAAAGCTCAAATTGCATTCTTCCAAGAAACGCACTTCCAATGGGGTAAAAGACCTAAATTTAACTCACCTCTCTATCCTTTGGACTTTCACTCCTGTTTCTCTAAAAAGAAGCGGGGAGTGTCGATCCTTATTGGGAAGGATGTGGCGTTTGAACTAGTAAAAAAACGTACAGACAAACAGGGAAGATACTTAATTATACAATGTTTGCTGAATAATGCCCCATACACATTAATTAACGTCTATGGCCCTCATACAGCACAGGCCGCATTTCTCCTCAATATTTTTAATGCCATGGATGAAGGCAGACTGGGGGAGGTAGTGATAGGTGGGGACACGAATTTCATTCTAGATACTCAACTAGACACGTCTTCTTCGCACACAGTGAAAGCATCTACTGAAACAGGCAGGAAAACAACCTCCGGGCACATTAACCAACTTCTCTTAGAGCAGAATTTTATAGACCCATGGAGGGTGACACATCCGCAAGAAAAGGATTTCACATTTCACTCAGTGGCACATAACTCGTACTCCCGAATAGACCGCTTCCTGATACCTACCTCCCTGATTAGCAACGTGGTCAACACAACTATAGGCCTTATAACGTGGTCGGACCATGCGCCGATCATTCTCCACTTGAATGAACAATTCCCTGCTAAAGGGAGAGGAACTTGGCGGCTTAACGAAAGCTTGCTCAACGACCCCAAAATATTAGAAGACCTACATAGGGAACTGGAGGTCTATTTTTCGACTAATTCTCAACCAAACACACCCACAGAAGTTATGTGGTTAGCCCATAAGGCATACATTAGGGGTGTATTAATTAAGCACGCGAGCAGGGCCAAAGCGGCGCGTATAGCTAAATACATAAACCTCACCAGCCGCCTCACAACATTAAACACATGTAATAAACAAACACCCTCAAAGACGCACCTTAGGGAGATTACAGAAGTACGTGCGCAATTACAAGAACTGGAAGTGGCTAAAACAAACTTTTTCCTAAGGCGTCTCAAAGCCAAATTCTATGAGCAAGGAAACAGGGCAGGGAAAGTACTTGCCTCCAGGCTTAAAAAACGTAACCTCGCAACTAAAATAGCTTACATTCACAACCCCCAGGGTCAGAAAATCGTAAACCCTGATAAAATAGTTCAGGAATTTGCTCAGTTTTACCACACACTCTATAATCTTAAAGATGATAACCTGACACCCCAATCCACACAAGAACAGATAGACGAATTTCTAGGGAAGGTCCAGCTACCCTTGCTGCCCAATGATAAGATATCTGACCTTATTAAACCAATTTCCGTTGAGGAAGTTACACAAATGATTAAAGATTTACCCAATTCTAAATCGCCAGGACCAGATGGACTCTCCTCCATATACTATAAAACCTTCCAAACTGCTCTTACACCACACTTAATTTCTTTGTTTAACCAAGGTTTCACACAAGGTAAATTACCTGGTGAAATGCTACGAGCTCACATAGTCACTCTACCCAAACCAGGTAAAAAACCCACAGCATGTGCTAATTTCCGCCCGATATCCCTATTGAATATTGATACCAAACTATATGCAAAAATTCTGGCGACTAGACTCAAACATTTACTCCCCACTCTAATCCACTATAACCAATCTGGCTTTGTCAAAGGCAGACAGGGCTCAGACAATTCTAGGCTTCTTCTTAATGTCCTGGAGGGTCTCAACACTAACAAACTGGGAGGACTGTTGCTCGCATTAGATGCGGAAAAAGCCTTTGATAGGCTCAATTGGCTATACATGAAATCGGCACTAAATAAATTTGGCTTTCCTTCAGCATTCATAACAGCAATTATGGCCTTATATTCCTCTCCAGAAGCTAGTGTCACCAACGCAGGATTCGTTTCCACACCCTTTCCAATTTCGAACGGAACGAGACAGGGTTGTCCTTTGTCCCCCCTGCTTTTTATACTATGTCTAGAACCCTTAGCCCAGATCATTCGGCAGGACCCAAACATTCACGGAGTCACTGTCGGCGAACACCAATACAAACTCTCATTATTCGCTGATGACATTCTGCTGACACTGACGAGGCCAAAGATATCACTCCCAAACCTCATGCCCATCCTACAAACCTTTGGCTCTATCTCGTATTACAAACTTAATACGGCTAAGACTCAAGCCCTGCCTATTAATCTCCCCTTGCAGAATGCTGAGGAATTAAAAAAGACCTTCGATTTCGATTGGAGGACGGAGTCGGTAACCTATTTGGGAGTGCGAGTTGCCAAATCGATACATACTATATACAAACTAAACCATGTCCCTCTCTTAGAAATAATCCGTAAAGAGCTGAATTCATGGAAAGAAGTGATGATCTCATGGGCAGGGAGAATCAACGCGGTGAAAATGATGGCCCTACCTAAACTACTGTACTTATTTCGTATGCTACCTGTACCTATCCCACAAAGCTTTTGCAAGAAAGCCCAGTCCATTATTAATAACTTTATATGGGGAAACAAACGTGCGAGAGTAGCGAGTTCCACATTGTATAGACCATTCCAGATGGGAGGGATGGGGGTACCCCAGGTGGCCATGTATCACCTGGCGGCCATACTATCCCAAGCAGTAAATCTTCACGCAGACAAGGGACGACTACTTTGGGTCGACATGGAACGCAAACAATGGCCTAAGGAAACCCTCCTAGAGTATATGTGGTCCCCACCAGCTAAACGGGGGAAAGCCCGTACACTCTTCTCAACAACGAAACTGACCATACACATATGGGATAAGTACAAGGCACTTCAAACTAAGACTTCCAGATTCCATAGACTGGCTCCACTGACCGCCATGTCCACAGTGTTACCATGGCTCCCACTATCCACATGGGCGAAAGCGGGCATCACTAGTATCTCCCAGCTACTCTCTGGTACGGGAATCACTCCTTTTGCCGACCTCCAACAGAAGTACAGTCTAGCCCCTAGATACATATTCCCTTACCTCCAAATTAAAAGTGCATTATTGGAGCATGTCGATAGGACCTTAGAGGGCAAGGCTGGAGAACCAAATCAGCAATGCGACCTGCTTATGTCATGTTGGAAATGTCCCCTTAGGCCTAAATTGCTCTCAAAGTGCTACAAAGCAATATCGAACTTCCCACTCTCCCCATCCCTGTCTTTTATGTCCCAATGGGAAAAAGAAAGCGGAACAACTCTCCTTCCCCACAAATGGCTAGCACTGGTTAATGCACTGACTGGTCATACTGCGTGCTACTCACACATAGAAGCTCACAGAAAGCTAATGTACAGATGGTATCTGACACCAGACAGGCTCAGCAAAATCTATCCAAACACCTCTGACCGATGTTGGAGGTGCCGAGCCCAAAGAGGCACGATGCTCCACATATGGTGGGGATGTGACCTTATTCAGCCATTGTGGTTGGTGGTCGCAAGATTGCTTAGCAACGTAGATATTATTCTCCCGCTGGAGTTTGGGTCCTGCCTTTGGTTGGACCTTCCCCCAGCTGGACGAAGCAGGAGAGGGGACTGGCCGCACAGGTGATACTGGCGGCTAGGGCTCTCATAGCGCTCAATTGGAAATCAACCATTTGCCCGTCTGAAAAGAACCTCATGGACAAAATCCGACTAAATTATGTGTATGATATCTCTTCTGCGATAACTCCTAACCAAAAACATAAAATATCTAAAACCTGGGAACCTTGGTGTCGCCACTATCAATTTCAGCCTCCATAAAACCATCATCCGGCCTGAGACCCGGATCATACACACACCTGTTACTAACGGTATTATATTTCTAAAAAAAACAAAAAAAAACAGGGACTTTAGCGCAAGGAACGCCTTAGATCCCCCCCCCCCTCGGCCTCCACCTAGATGCTGGATAGCAATCAGATTGTGTCTCCCTCACGTTAAATTGTTAAACTGTTTTTTGTTACACTATATTCTACCTTATTTTTTTCGGTTTCACTTTTTGTTTAGGAAGGTTCAGGCAGAGCATTACCTGGTCACCTGTGCAATACCTCACAGAATTCCACACTTCTCAGGGATACATAGGAGGCATTAACAGCGTAGGCAGGGAGCCCCGTCCAGTGGAGGGACAGTAAGACCTTAAAAGCAAGAGGGCCAAACCTTGAGCCTCCTTGATCCCCCCCAAACGCCCTACAAGGTTAAGGTATGCGACATACAAGCAGATCGCATAACAAATAGGCTAGAAATAACTAGAGCATCGCCCTCAGCGCACGCAAGAAGCTGATAGCTCCATGGCCTCATCGACGAGATACACTTGGAGGGTGAACAGTGGGGTATAGGTAGTGCCAGTTTTGACTTGGGATGAGCAGCAACTACTTTACGCCCAAATAACTGCGCACCTAGTTAGACGGTGATTAACATGAAATGTGAATGTCATTGTGATGTATCAGATTCTCTGTACTGTAACCCTGAACCCCTTACCCTACCCTTTTTTTCCTTCTGTACCCACTCCCTACTCTCCTTTGTGTCAAAAAAACCCAATAAACTCAAATTTAAAAAAAGAAATAGATGGGGAGAAAAAAAGAGACAAAATAGGAAAGATGAAGAGAAAGTGATTGGCAAAAGGTAAGTACGGCATGACAGTGATTCTTTAATTTTGAATTCCCAACAAATAGAAATAGATAGACTAGTTTAATTCAATACATTTGCAGGTGTTTTGGATAGCACAAAGTATGGAATATATTTGATCTCTATAATTACTTTTGGTTTCTCATGCTTCAAATTATATATAATTTATATTAGTGATATAATAAACAGATTTATTTTAATATAATTAATAAACTACTGGAGCCCATTTGATCTACAAAATATATATTTAATGAATAGGTTTACCAAAGGAAATAATTTATTAAAGGAACACTATAGGGTCAGAAACACACAAACATGTATTCCTAACCCAATAGTGTTAACTATTTAGGTAGTCGCCCCCCCTTACAAAAAGGTATCTTACTTATCTGTATGTCAGCGCAATGCGAGACCACCAGCGTTGGCTCCGTCCTCAATCCACCTCCTTGGCTCACATCATAGAACTGATTATCCCAGCCAAGCCAATGCTTTCCCATAGGAATGCATTGGGTTGGCTGAGATATGGGGCTGAACCATACACGCGCTACCTAGTCAGCATCTCCTCATTGAGATGCATTGAATCAATGCATCTCTTAGGGGAAGGTTCAGCATCTTGGTGCAGAACGTGGAGAAGCTGAACATCAGTGCTGCACAATGAGGAAGCACCTCTAGTGGCCATCTGAGTGACTGCCACTGAAGGTGTCCCTAAGGAGCAATGTAAACACTGCCTTTTTTCTGAGGGACATACTATACTCACCAGAACAACTACATTAAGCTACTGTTGTTCTGATGAGTATAGTGTCCCTTTAATTCTAAACAAACATTTATAATTCTATTTAAAATCTTTTTTTTTCAATTCTGTAACAACAGAGACAGTTTAACCCCTTAAGGACACATGACATGTGTGACATGTCATGATTCCCTTTTATTCCAGAAGTTTGGTCTTTAAGGGGTTAAACAGTGTTGTTTCTAATTGCCAGATCATAAAATGTTTTTTACATTGCATAATAACAGAAAAACTAGTACTGTATTTTTATCATTAATTTGTATTTCTTATTTAAAAACGTTTATATGGTACAGTATTACAAATCATACTGACAGGTGCATTAAATTCAAAGACCCAGTACATTTGTAAAAATAATTATCCAGACTAATAAGAACATAGTGTACCGAGAGTAGATGCATTTCAAATTATGTATCTCAGTAGGAAAGACAAGATGTAATTGTAAAACAATACAAATGTATCTGTCCTCCTTGATCTATGAAGACAGTGCCTTACCTCCTCTATTTCCATCAACAATTCAGGCATTTTCAAGTGTAGTATGTTACAAAAACAACGTGGGGAGTGGAAGTAGCTGCAGGTCTTTGTTTAGCCTTTGTCTTGCTAAGCCGGGGAAACAGATGTGTAGAAAATGTGAATGCACTTTGCACACTATGGGCAGACTTTAGTCCTCATGCAGGTTACGCATTAACAGTTTATGGTTCAGTAATTTAAACCGAAAATAAAATCTGAAATTTTCAGAAAAAGCTTGTTTAAGAAAACAATTAATAAAAAATGTGTTTCCTGATGGGAGATGATGTAATTCCTCTTTTGTGTCTTGTGAGTGGGAGGTGCATTGAAACTGGAAGTCTGATAAGTCATTCGTGCATTTTACTTGCAAATAGTCTATTATTCGTTCGGAATGAGATATCTTTTGTTGGTGCACATTTTTCAAAGGTCTGATTTAGATAGTATTGCTGTTAGAAATAGTAACAGATGCCTGGTAAACTACCAAGAGCAATGCAGATTTAACCCTTTCATGACTGGTGTTTTGCCCTTTTTTGCCTCATGTTTTGCATTACCTTATTATGCATTTAGTGTATCTGTAGATTTGGGACATGTGTTTTTATTTTTTATTTGTACAGATACAGATTTTTGTATATAAAATATATCTTATAGTTGTCTGTTAATTCCCTATCACATGTGTGTTCAGTATAAAATGGAAAACATGTTTGATTGACAAGTAACCCCCTGCTCCCCAAATTCATATCATAATTGCCAATATCAAACTAAAAGCTTGACATGGAGTTGCTGGGTATTTTTTTGTTTTCAATTTCTTACAAGTTTTTCTTTTTTATATTTATGCAATCTGCAAAAAGGAACATCTTCCCCAATTTGAATGAATCAACCCCGTAACAAATTATTTGTGATAAATCTGTGATCTATCTAAGATTTTGTTCTGTTTGTGTCCAAGGACAAAGTACTTGCATTGATATCCAACAAAAAAACAGCCCCTCATATAATGTATCTTCCACTCATGACTTTTCTTTGCTGCCCCCTGAGTTGATACATCCATTCCACTTCCTCCCCTGATAATTTTCTCATCCATTCATATTCATATTTTAATGTCCCCGACCACTGTACCACAGTTGATATCTAGAATATATATTCCCCTATTAAATCCCCTATACTGTTCTCAATATTCAACTGCTGAATTTCCAATTAAATTTCTCTACCAACACAGAATTATTCTTTCTTAACTATATTCTCCCAGTATTATAGCCAAGCAATGTTACCCCAATCATATTCAAACCACTTAATACCTATTAGTCATACCCCCACCCATTCCATTCATATCCCCATGCTGTTTATCTAATTCCCCTCATGCCTCTCCCAGTATATCTTCCTAGACCCCCTAGAATACCTCCCTTCATGTCTCCTAAGTGCATCTCCTTACATTCACGTCCTTCCCTAATACAATTACATAGCTGAAAAGGTGCATGCATCCATAAATTTTTTTCCCCTATTTGCCATCAATCCCTTTCCTGTACATAATCCTCCAGGCATATCCTTTCCCAGCACATAGCTGCCAGAAAAAACTCCCCACTACCTTGATATGCACATAGTCGCCTTTTCTGGCACATTCAGTTTAACTTTAATACCCATTCCCAAAAAAACACAGACTACCATTTTTAAAGTTGGAAAATATTTTGTCCACAGCTTTATTAAAAACATCATATAACATAAGGTCATTGCCAACACTTAAAGGGACACTCCGGGCACCCAGACCACTTCTGCCCATTGGAGTGGTCTGGGTGCCAACTCCCACTACTCTTAACCCTGCAAGTGTAATTATTGCAGTTTTTTATAAACTGCAATGATTATCCTGCTGGGTTAACTCCACCGATAGTGGCTGTCTACTAGACAGCCACTAGAGGGCACTTCCTGGTTTCTAGCACAGGAAACCTGTGCTAGAGCGTCGCTGAACGTCCTCACGCTATGTGAGGACATCCAGCGTCGCTCATTTCCCCATAGGAAAGCATTGAAATGTATTTTTTCCTGGCACTGGAGTTTCCCTTTAACACTCATACTAAAATACCCCTCTCCCATCCCTCTAAAACCCTGGCAATGACCCTCAAACATGAGTATAAACCATAATCTAACAAAAATAATAATCACACAACACACTAACAAAGTGGCATGTTTACCAATATATAACAAACTGTAGGGGTATACCGAGATGCCACCAATGAATTTGAACCTACGAAACCACTGTAACCCTGTGAGTATTGTCTTCTCAACCTAACCCTGCATGTTATTGACTCACTTTACCCCGCCACAGCTCAGTTCTTGACCTTTAGCCACCTCAGTGCCCCCACCCAGGAAAAATAGCGCCTTACTGATACCCTCCTGAAACCCAAGGTTAAGCAGATCATACCCCACCTCAGAGAGCTGCATCCCATGCGCCCGATAATAACCAGGTAACATTCCTTCTTGATCCCAATGCCTCACCACAACCCCGCCTGTCCGCTGTATGAAAATCGACATTGTCTTATTGACCTTACCCGGGCACCGAGCCACTGCAGCAAGGTCCCTAGCATGTCTCCAATGCAGCCGAGAAATCATCTTGGACCACACCACGACCACTTCAGGAACTAATTCCCATATCCTGTCCACGTCCCTCTTCATTAGCCTCACTAACTGTCTCTGGGGAACAAGCCCTAAATCATTCCCACCATCCTGTATCAGTATGATGTCCGGGGCTTGACCCATCCTCAATCGCTTAACCCCTTAAGGACTGAGCCAAATGTAGACGTGATCAAAACAAAACGTAAACAAAACCTTAAATTTCAGTATTTTTCTGTTCAACCGTAATTCACCTCTTTCATATTACGTGCACCCACACTTATTATATATCATTTTATTCAGGGGATACAGGGCTTTCATTTAACATCAAATATTTAGCTATGAAACATAATTTAATATGAATAAAATATAAAAAAAGTGAGAAAGTAACCACCTCCCTGCCAAAACCCACACTGCCAGACGCGTCTGTAAACAAATTAAGGACGTTCCTGGGCCCCGAAAGAAAAACTTCCCGTTAAAGTCTTCAAGAAACATGTCCCAAACTCTCAAATCCTCCTTCATTGAATGAGAAACCTGAACATAATGGTGAGGGGAACAAATCCCACATGTTGTCCTCGACAGAAAATGGTTAAAAAAAACTACTCATTGGAATAACGCGACAGGCGTAGTTAAGGCTTCCCAGCAGCGACTGCACTTACCGCACCATCACCTTCTGAGCACTCCGAACCGCCCTCACTTTCTCCTGAAGCGCAGCCAGCTTATCCGATGGTAATCGACATTCCCCCGCCACCGAATCAATTTCCAGGCCTAAAAAACTGACACAAGTCATTGGGCCCACAGTCTTTTCTGCCACTAATGGAACCCCAAACAAGTGAGTTACCCATTCCAATGAGCGTAACGCGTAACTGCATGCTCCAGAATGGGCGGGTCCGACGCATAAAAAGTCATGTAGATAGCGAACCATGGACCTGTCGCCTGTTTTCTCCCTAACCACCCATTCCACAAGGGTACTGAATTTCTTGAAATAAGCACATGATATTGAGCACCCCATGGGTAAGCAAAGATCCACATAATAAGCATCGTCGAAAAAGCTACTCAGTTGATGATGACGGTCCAAGTGGACTGGCAACAACTGAAAAGCTGATTCAATATTCACTTTCACCATGAGGGAGATGGAGCCTGGTTTGCTCACCAACTCAACCACATGGTCAAATGATGCATAGGAAACAGAACAGAGCTCTGTGTTGATGTCATCATTAACTGATGACCCCTTAGGGTACGACAAATGGTGGATTAACCAAAACCTACCCACATCCTTTTTAGCAAAAAACCCTAGTGCCAAAATCCATAAGTCTGGCCCCGCCATCCTTCCCAGTTGAACCTCCTTAAACAATTTGTCCCGAACCACCCCAGGGTACTGAAAAAACGACTTCAAGTTGTGAAAATGAAGAACAACAACCCTATCCTTGAGTGGAATAAAAAAGCCCTCCGAAAAACCCTCCCGCAACAATCTTAACCATAGGCCTCCCAAATCCCATCTAAGTAGCAAAAGAACTGGGAACAACGCTCCGGGAATTTTCCCCCTAGTATACTTGCCAATATACAAAAAGCCTGCAGCCAATTACCAAAAGACTTCGGTATCTTCCGATACCTCTGCCTTTTTTTCTTCCTCCTCCTTCTTGCCATCCTTCAGGTCCTCTTCCTTCAAGTCAAGGTACTCCTCTAGCGGAAGAAGGGAAAAGATTTCTAGAAATTTCCCCCTCCAAATCCTTTCCTTAATGTCATGTTTAATATGACATCCCTGTTGGGCCGCATCAGGTATAAGCCCCGCCAATTCAAGGTAGAGGTCCTTCTCTCAACTCCAAGACAGTCCGGAGCATCCAGCTGCAATTCTTGATCTGCTCCCTGGTGCCCTCCAGGCACTGCAGGTGATGAGTCAGGAGCACTGAAGAAGAAACACATCTGGGTAAACCACCCACAGAAATCCCTCCATTTTCTATCCTCGATCGCTCCTGCTCGCCACGCCTTTTGTCCAGACCCAAACACTGCAAGGAGTACGTCTCCTATAACCGGGGCTCCTGCTAGCTGCCCTGGAGATACTGGGGCAGCACCTGCTACACCTGGCAGAAAAGTCTCTTGCCGCTATCAACCCCCCTCACTATCACCCCCTCTCAGCATAACCACCCCACTATTACCCCCCTCACCACCCCTCACTATCAACCCCCCTCACCACCCTCAGCATTAGCCCCCTCACCCTCAGCCCCCTGACCACTCTCAGCATTAACCCCCTCCCTCAGCAGGGCCGCCATCAGGGGGTGACAACCATGATGGTTGTCACAGGCCCCCACGGTTAACGGCGGAACTGCCGCCAGTGCAGTTGCACTGAGGCCCGCACGCTGATGGGGCCTATTGGGTGGCCCACGCACTCAGGGCCACCCGATGCGCCCTATATCTTCAGTGGCCCGGTCAGCGCTATGGCCGTGGTATAGCGCGACCAGGCCCCTTTAAAAAAAATGTAGCC